CACTATGTCTATCTTGCACGTTTCAGATAATATAAATCAAGTACTAAATTTTTTATATAATAAATTAAAATTTATCATATTTTATAGTATTTTAAATTGATATTTAAGTAAAAATTTAATCATATTTAACTTTTTAATGTATATTAAATTTAAAATATTGAAAATTTTAATTTATAACATTTGAATTAAAAATATATAAAAATAAAATAAATTTTTAGAAATAAATTTTTAATTCAAAATTTTTCTTTTCAAATGGAGATCTTTATTTAGTTATTTTAACGTAATAAAATTTAAATTTTATTACGTTGAAATCTTTTATTGAAAAATTTTCATCCATAATTCATTAAAAATATTATGGACGGGATGGATTTACATATGTAAAAATTAATATTTTTACATATGTAAATTAAATTTTAGTTTCTTTTTATTTATAAATATAACGTGTTTTTGCTTAATCAATAATCAATGATGTTAAAAGTTTTATTTGTTTCAAAAAAATCATTTGAAATTTTAATAATTAAAATTTTTATTTTACTGAATTAGATTAATTTTTTTCTTTTATAATAGTTAAAAATCATATTTGAATAAACTAAAAAAATATTTCTTGTTTAATATACTTCAGATTTTTTTGAAAAAAATGAAATATATATATATATATATATATATCATTAAAAAACAAGTTAACATATATAAGTCAACATCTTATCATAAAAAGTAATGTAAAGTATCTTATCTTCAATTTTATGGCTAAAGCATATTTATTAATTGTGTGTTTTCACTTTCTAAAATCAAAGAATTTGAGCAAATTTTTAAAAAAAACAAGAGAAATAAAACAATGATAACATACAAAATTACTTCAATTCAACCATGAAAATATTACATTTTAAGTTATACTTTTAATCAAACCATTTAGACATAGAATCTATCAATATCTGAGATATTGATTCAAAATTTTTTAAATTAATATTAAACTTTTTATAAGTACTAGAGTTTTAATATATATATATATAGAGAGAGATTTGACATAGGCAAAAGATTTGTAAACTATGAAGATGATTATAATGATCTTGTTATGTTCACTTTGATCATTTATATCTTAGTCGAAGTGATGCTTGCATCTGCAAAACCCTAAAAAAATTGGAGACTAATTTATAAAACAATAGAGTTTAGAGAGAAGTTTACTCGAAGATGAAAACATAAATTCTAAAGATGAGAGATACTAACAATGGTTCTACTTTATTTTATATGACTCTTATCAACAAGTACAATGAGATAAGATACACATAAGATCTACCGTCATGTCATACATCCACTCTTAGTGATGGATGACGTGGCAAAACCATAACAAGCACACGGATTGCTGACGTGACGTTGTCAACTAACAAACTTACTCTCTAGCTACCATGCACGCGGATCAATGACGTGCCAGCTATGACTAATGCACGCTAAAGTAATTATATAAACATTTTGAGTAACCTCTTGATCCGATATTGATATACAAAGTGAGAAATAAAAAAAAAATTTGAACCTGTACTTAAAAGACCTCAAATGAAACGGAGAATGGGCGAGTAGACAAAAACTTTTTTTCTAAAAAGTGAACCAAGTAACTTGGAGGCTGAATGAGAATGAGAAAAAAATACATCGAAGATCATTTTTTAGACTAATCGGTAAAAGATAGAGAGAGAATTCATTAAATCTCTTGTAAATTATAGTTTACAACGAATGGAGGTTAGAGTAAACAGCTACACTTCTAGTAGAGAGCCAAGTATCTTCGAGTGGAGTGAGAGGGAATATGGAATGAAAAATATAAAGCTAAAATTTCTCCCTAGACCAGTCTTTTCAAACAATGACTTTTGTACTCTTTGAGCATAAAGAACTGACTCTTGCTAATCTAGCTAATCTATTTTGGTAATTATTCAAAGTCAAAACTAAATGAAATGGCTATATGTAATGCTAAACCTATTTCAGATTTTATTGTTTCATCTTCCTTCATTTACATAAGTTGTTTTTGAATTCCTTGAAAACAAATTTATGATTTGAAAATTATATCTATAAAAAAAAAATCTCTGTGCTTTTTTTTACTTACATATTGATAAGTTTTGTAATTAAAAATAATTCTTTAAAATAAAAAAAATAAAATAAAATATATTTTTTGAAAATTAAGCATGTTTTTGAAAAATGTAATAAAAAAAATTAAATATATATATATTTTAACATTTTTTAAAATAAATATTGAGAGTTTAAACAAATCAACTTTCATGATATCGTGGCCATTGTATCCAAAAAAATTTTTAAAAAATCATCATATTTGAGTAGAATATTCATAGTTAGCATATTTTCTTATGAATTAAATAAATATTATAAAGATCTTTAATAAAAAAATTTGATTTTGAATTAATTTTAAAATTAATTTATAATTTTTTTATATAATCAATTTCATAAAACTTTGACTGTATACAAGTTCAAAAAAATATTTTATTATTTTGAAGAAAAAATTGAAATTAAAAGGAAATAAATTAATGTAATGATTTTGAGTTTATATGCTATTTTACAAAGTACTCTAAATTTTGATAGGCATGAAAGAAAATCACTAACATGAAAACTTAACTAGATTTTTGAGTTTAATTAAATCTATTTCAAAAATATTTTTATAGAACTAACTTTGTGTTGTTGCAAAAAAATATCACTAGTGTTAAAATAAAATTTATTTTCAAGTATTGTTTTATATTTCATTTTATTGCAACAATTATTCAAATGCATGATCAAATAAATATTGGAATATTTATGCATGTTCAACTTTATGTAATTACATATTGGAGGTTGTGATAGAAAGTTTTAAAAATAAAGTTTCGTGGAAAAAATTTACAAGGAAGTACTCAGCGTACATCTCTTCACTCATGGAGCCTTCCTAACTACAAACGGCAGTAGTTTTTTTCTCCATGCAGGTCGTCGCTGTACGGGCAAGACAATTCCCTGTAGGAGAAAAGTAACTTATGAAACTTCAGGAATTCTGGTGTTCTTGTTGCTTAGCTACTCGATTCAACCTTTATTAGATGCATAGCAAGTAGTTGAACGTTATAAGCAATTTAATGAACATGACTTTAATTCTTAGTTGATTTGGTTTGATTGTAGACCAAATGGAAAAAATTTACAAATGTTTTTGACCTTATTATTTTAAAAATAATTCAAAATATTTTTTGAATCTATATCTGCTTTTCTATATTTTTTGAATACAACACAAATCATATTTTGAAACAAAGATATCACTAATTAGATCAAAGGTTAATTTTAGTATAATATTATCATTATTCAATTATTTTTTGATATATATATATATAATTTATATATTCAATATGAAGTATTGAAATGCAAATTTTTTTTCATTAATATAATAAATCTTTTAAAATTTATTCCAATTCATATTTTATTAAAAATTTGAAAATATTAGTAATTACTTCTTGAAATTTTATATTAGTCACTGTTATATATTTTATTTAGTTGAATCTTCATCATCTTTCCATACTTAATACTTAATAACTTTAATTTAGTGTTTAAAATTATAATTTTTAGAATTTATATTGAAAATATAATTATTATATTATAAAATATCATGAAACAAAAATCTTTAAAGTTTTCATAATTTGTCATTCAAAAACCTAATGCTTGCTTCACTCAGTTAAACTATAAATTCATTTTTGAATAAATCTATTTTTTATGATATTAAAGATTCATTATCATATAAGATGTATTTTATTTATGTATTATGCACTATGATTTATCTTCTGAATATTGATAAAAAATAATTAATATCTTGTTTTGTCCTAGTTACAATAATTAAATTACTATTTATCTTATTTATCTTATAAATAAATAAATATCATATAAAATAACGTTCTTTAAATAAAATTCTTTTATTTTTACACTTTACGGATAATTCTGTATACAAATGTTACTTAAATACCAAACTTTGAAATATGTTAAAATGTCAGTAAATATTATTTTATAAGTTACATAGAACAGATAAATTAATCATGAATATGAAATTTGTATAAATTCAATTTGAAAATCCAGAAAATCAGATCATAATTTTTATTTCTGTGATGATGTAAAAAAAGAAATTCAATTCAAAAATATTTATTATATATCTTTCTATGATATACGATTTACATATCAAAAAATTAAATAATCAATTCAGAGAAATGCATGTTTGCATTGAGTCTAATTAGGATAGGAAATATGAATTTGATATTAAACTATCAAAAGTAAGAGAGATAAATATGTAATTACTATCATGTGAAAGGTGAAAAACATTTCTGAATAGTGATAATGAATCTTCTTGGATCTGTTAGACTTTAAAATTTATCATCTTAAGGTTTAGAGAATTGTATACAAATTAAAAAATGATTCCGGTAGTCTTGGAGTTATGCGCAACTATGACATCCTTTGAGATGTTTGTGAAATAAAGTGCCAAAATAATTAAACTAGGTAACCTGAATTTTATTTACTACGTCGCTTATTTTGGACATTATGTTTTTAACAGATAATACACTAGTTAGCGTTATCTACATAACTTTCATCACACTAAGAATTGCTTTGTGTTGAAGAATCTTTTTAACAGATTAAAAAGACTGAACTGACCATGGTTGTCCATGCTTCAAGAATAAATTAAGAATATGAAATTAGATTTGGTTTGAAATTCATATACTCGACTTTCTTGCTCAATGTTGATTGTGTGAGGGAGTTCTCGTGATATCGTAACAATTCGTTTGCGATGAATGACTGATGACTTGTTGGTGTGCAGATTGGTAACAACAGCAGGCCCGGATGAAAGATGGGAAAAGGGAGTAAAGATCCAGAACATGCACAAAGTTCGTTGACAGATTCCAAAAAAACATTCTAATAAACGCACAGGTGATTGTGGATGAAGATGGGCTCCCAATCTACATCCCAATCATCATCAAGTTCACGTACGAGATTATCTAGCTCCACATTCTAGGCTTAGAAAGCGGCACACCGCGAGGTTCAGATAGTGTGTGAAAATAATTGTCTCATGGTATAAAAGGTGTAACAAGAGGCCCAACAGAATCCTAGATTCCGTCTTGAAGATAAACGTCCCAACTCTCAGGAGAAGAAGTAAAAGAATAAGCCCAAAGATAATCCAAAACGAACCAGATCATAGAGGGATAACGCACAAAACATACAGCAGGCAGGCAGGAATCGAGGTCAGAAATCCATGAAACTCAATGCTCCATCTGCTCATGGGTCTGGACATATAAGACAATGGTGGCAAAGCTCCGATCGCAGAAACCATGTAACATTGTGACCCACCATCTCTGCCGACTTAGATATAATCCCTTTGACCGAGCTCGGAAGAACAGTCCCTCTCGATGTTCCCTCCCGGCAGCCTTATTTTAATGTGAGAAAATTAAACCGCCACCATCCGTGTCCCAAATTGGTATGAGGGGAATGCACTCCTCCGTACATCGAGTGGAAAGAATCTATCAGGTTGAACAAAATCGAGAGAAGAACTTTTTTTAATAATGACTAAAGAGGGTTTCAAGGATTGAGAACAAACTCACAATGTGGAGCGCAGGAGTTTGGAGATGAAGCCGGACTCACCTCATGACGAAAGGAGCAGGAGGAGGAGGAAGCATGCAAGAAGGATAGGGCAGAGGTTCTTTGCCGTCTTGCCGCGCCGAGCTTATTTCCAACGAACAGAGCAGCAGAGCATTAGGGTAGGACCGACGTCGAAAGAGGGTCATTTAGAGCGGGACATAGTGGCCGGATGATGATGTGCACATTGATTCCACACAACGGCATGGCCTTGATCAGCCGGAGAAAGTCGCTGCTTTTCATCGTGCCCTCCTTGCTTGCCTTGCCTTGCTCGCTTGGCGATGAGTGCAAATGCGATGACCACTTGCTTTCTCTGAGGCCAAATTAATGCGCAACCCAAACAGGTTTTCTCCCGAAAGACGCTTTTCCATCTCGCCATTGATTGATTTCGGTGCACAAAGCCATCACTCGTCCACTTTTGCCCCCGAGCCCTGGCCGCTCGAGGGTCTCTGCCATTGCGGTCACATCGCTAATGTAACGACGAGCCTGTTAAAGGTTCCTGGAAGAAGTGTAGCACAGATGAAGGCGCACGTGGGATGATGCGATGATGGCAACGGGCGTGACCTGGGGCCGAGTCGGATATTAACTACGCACTGTTAATCTCGTCATGCAAACAAGACTGATTAATGTCGCCTGATTGTGGACTGGGGAGATATTGTTAGATGTTGTTAATTATTCGATGTGGGGTTAGATTGAACAGGAATTCCAGTTTGGAAGTCATGAATGATCCAGTATAGTCACGCCGAATATTCAACGCGAAGAAATGCACTTTCATGTCATTCCAAGGCCGCTTGCTCCCACGACGGAGGAGAAAATAGCAAACTCGTTGTTTGATTTGGTACGTGGATATTTTTACATGAACAAGGCTAGCATGAAGTAAAGACAAGTCATGCATGTATCACTTTGGGTGATAATATTGTTGGGATACGATGATGTCAAAGAAGGACTTGAGTTGCTATCATCTTTTACCACTTTTATGGGCTCCGATGTGATCTCAATAATCTCGGACATGATGAAAAGTACGGTGGTACATTTTGAACACCATTCTCAAAATGATTAGGCAAAAAGTATATAATATTTACTGCGCTTTTAATCTCGTCGTAGAAACAAGCTGGGCTTGATCCACTGAAAAGAAACTGGTAAAACATTAGTAACAGCTAATCTAGAAACTTTTTTAGACTCGAAGATTAAGCCGCAAATTTTTTGAATCGAATGAGTCTTATTTTCCAGAAATAATTATTCACCACCCCTGAAGATGTCCAATAAGTCACAAGTTGTGAGAAAAAGATGTGCACATGATTTATTCGTTAATAGAAAGAAAATTAGCAAACTTTGAAGTTGCAGATAACCGGTAGCAGAGTGACTGTAACGAGGGCGTTCGGTACAATGCGGAGTCGCAGGGTATGGTCCCGGAGTCCCCATGCCAGAGAGGGCCCATCCCGTGACATGCGAGAGGGGAAACCAGGCCAAAGACGCCCCTCCGGGGAACGTACCGCTGGTCTGATTGGCCCGCTGCCCACCCTACGTTTTGGTGTTTGTGGACCGGAATCGTACCGGGGGGACCGTCTCGCGCCTTGACTATATCAAGATCCCCTGGCCGCTGGAAATATCCGAGTTTTCCGAAGCAAATTTACGCCCCAATGGCAGATGACAAAAGAATCGGTGGGTCGATGCATTGAGTGCTTGATAACCGCTACATAGGATCGTAGGCGATGTGGGAGGATCAAGTCCGCGCCTCCCATTGGCCCAGCATAATTTTGCAATCAAGCGGAAATTTGGAGGTGGATTCAAGATGGGCCCCATTTGCCGGCAGGAGGCGTTGGCATTTGGGTTAACCTCCCGGAATGACAAGGCGCGGTGAGGAAAAATCATCCGTGCTAACCATGCTGAACTTACCTTACCTTACCTTAATCGAGCATGACGGTGATAATATCTCCGAGGCAGCCGCAATGGAATTTTACTCTCGGCCGATCGGGTTAAGATTGCGGTGCCGTGATTTATTACTGCTGTCCCAAGAAAGCATGACCGCTCCCTCCCTGCGTCGCGGTCCCTCCCGACTCCCGACCATAAAATTAGGTTCCTCGTTCCGCGCCAGTCTTTCACCATGGTCCGGGCGGTCCACGGATAACACATGCCGGTAAGTTACAGGGGCGGGGTATTTTCACCCTGCCCGACTTGCCGGACCCGGTCTAGCTGTACGGGATAATATTGAACAGGGCTGGAGAGTCCAGAGGCTCTAGGCCTGCGCGCATCCCTCCCCCCAGTAGATCAGGCAACTCATCTTCCCGTGCCAGAAAGCAAACGGTGCTGTCGAGATGCTGCCGCAACCCGTGCGCGTTCTGGGGGAGGTCTCACGGTTTCTCGATGGTCCGATCGGACGGTGGGGGTTGTGCTTCCGGGACCGATCGGCGCCATCGGAGTGGAGCGACGGATGAAGTTTCTCGCCGCGCAACCGCGCGGGGTGGTCGACGCCTACGTGGAAAGCGTCTTTCGTTTGGGGGGATCGGTGTGCGGCGTCGATCTTCGGGCGTCGGACGACTGAGATGTCGATGTGAAGAGCGCGGCAGCGCGAGGGATGGAGAGTCTGTGGATGGATGGATGGACAGATGGATGGATGGACGGAGAGAACATGGAAGTTCGGGTAAAAGGGTGGGGGGTGTGGGGAGGCCCAACACGAGGACAAAACATAAACCATGAATGGGATCTGTCGATTCTCCGCGCATCGGACGGTGGGGAGGAGCGGCTGGAAAGAAGTAGTTTGGACGTGGGACGCAGGACGTTGAAGAAGTTAACGGCGTCTTGATCCGCGAGCGCATGCATTCGAGGGATGGCGGACAGGCAAAGTTGGCTGCGACGGGGGGCCGTCGATGGCGAGGATCGAACGGCGTGGACGAGAAAGGTGGACGAATGGGGATGAAGAGCTGGACGGATAGGGATGGACAGTTGTGGGTGGCATTCAGGAGAGTGTGTCGCGGTGGCGCTCATGTCACGGTCACATGGCCACATTCCGACCCCGTCCCACTCTCTCCGTTGGAGTCCGTCCACGGCGGACATTTCTTTCTTAACTGTCTCGAGGACCGGACGACCGAATTAAACACGCCATTTCCCCGACGACGATGCTTCTGCGCTATCCAGAGGGTACGTACTGCGCACAGTAATTATGAGAATGACCGTCAACGCCGGTTTCCGAGCGGGTCCGCCCTGAATGCGCCTTCCCCGGTTCCGGTCCGACGGACGGCGAAGGTAGGTTAGGAACGCGACTCGCAGCCGGGGCTCGGGAAGCGGAGTGGGTCGTGAAGTCGGGAAGCGTCGGATGCTTGGGGAGGAAGAAACGGTGGCAGCGGACGAGAACAACGAAGAGGACGGGGGCGACGAGACGAAAAGAGGGGAAAGACGGCCCAGCCGACGCTGAGAGAGAGGAGTCCGAGGAGTCTGAGGGAGGCAGGAGGCGCTGCGCTGATGGGGGTATCATCATCCGCTTGCGAACAGAATAGAACAGAACAGATATGGGGGCGCAGAGCGTTGGGTGACGAAGGAAAGGTGAAGACGACGAAGTGAAAGCTCAGACGAAGAGAAGAAGCCGAAGCAGAAGAAGAAGAGGAAGGAGAGAAGGGGAAGCAGAAGCAAAGAGTGGGGGACAGGCGAGAGAGAGAGAGAGAGAGAGAGAGAGAGAGTGGCGACGACGACGACGACGATTGAGGAGGAAAGGACAGACTTTTTGTGTGGGGGGAGTGCCGCTGGCAGGGAGCAGAGCGAGCGAGTGGTGGTGGGAAAGAGACGGACGGGAGGGAGGAGCGAGAGGAGAAGGCAAGGGGGGGAAGCAGCAGCGCAGGGGCCGGGGAGGGAAGGAAGGAAGCGTTGAGAGAGGAGAGCAGCGGGAGCAGCAAGTTGATGAGGAGGAGGGCGACGAGTGAAGAAAGCACAAGAAGAAGAAGAAGGAGGGAGGCGCAGCTCGACGGTGGAGAGGAGGAGCAGAGCAGGAGGACGAGGAGGAGGCGGTGGTGGGAGTAGCGCAACGAGGACGGGAGACGGCGCAGAGGCGGAGGAGGAGGAGGAGCGTAAGGGGATGAACGCAGGGTCAGACGGGGCTGGGGGGAAGAGATGAGCGGGAGGACGGGGTGCAAGAGAGGTACCCATGAGGGAGCATGAGGGATTGGCCGAGATCGCTAGAGGGGAAGAGGAAAATCTCAACACATCGACCTCGCAAGAGGAAGTGGTAGAGCGCGAGAGACGAGATCGGTTGGCGGGCGCGGAGCGGGATCTCGTGGAGCGGGATCTCGTGGAGCGTCACCACAATCAGGAAATCCTGGAGCATCAATGCGGTTCCACTCTCTACCAGGAGATCGACGCGCCGGTGGAGTTGGTGTGGTCCATTGTGAGGCGGTTCGATCAGCCGCAGTCGTACAAGCATTTCCTGCAGAGCTCGTCGCTGCTCATCGGCGAGGGCGCGCCCGGCAGCGTCAGAGAGGTGCGGCTGGTCTCGGGCCTGCCCGCCACCAACAGCATCGAGCGCCTGGAGGTTCTCGACGACGCCAACCACGTGAGCAGCTTCCGAGTGCTGGGAGGCGGGCACAGGTTGAAGAATTACTGGTCCGTGACGTCGCTGCATGAGCGCGTGTCCAATGGCCGCCGCAAAACCATGGTCATCGAGTCGTATGTGGTGGACGTGCCCGAGGGCAATTCCAAGGAGGACACCATGGTCTTCGTGGACACGCTCGTCAGGTGCAACTTGAAATCGCTCACCACCGTCGCCGAGCAGACCGTGCTCCAAACCACGACCAGCAATCTCAAGATCAAGTCCGAAGTCTAGGTCGGACTTTACACCCACGGAATTTTTGGATGCTCCCCTTGCTCTTCATCCCCTCCCCCCTTGCATACTTCGCAGATCTTCCTGGCCTCCCGCCGCTTGCCTGTCTTCTCTCTGTGAGTCGTGGGGCTCTCTCGCCTGAGAGCTGCTCACCCCCCTGTCCAGTTTTGTGGGAGTGGCGCGGGCGTGTCCCGTCCGTCGCCGCTGGTAGTTCATGTGTCCGTGGAGTTAAGAGAGTTGCTGTGGTGCGGAGGCTCGCTATTGCAGGTCCCGCGTCGGATTAATTCGACCTGCGAACCGACCGAGGATGGCCATCGCGGGGCTGGCAGCCGGCCACACGCGGAACACGGAGCTCCCAGCGTTGTCGAGCAAGATGATGAATGAGCAGTTTCTCCCGGGAGCAGCGGTGTATTCGGGACTCTCCAAGGTACAAGAGCGCAATGGCTCGCGCAGTCAATTTTAGTGATGGATAGGTGTACTTCCGCACAGCATCCTCGTCTGCCGTGCGTTTTCAATTTTTGCTTGCTGAGTGTTCTATCATGCAGCTCATATCAAGCAGTAAAAGGACATTGATGGCTCCGAAGAAATTTGTGAAGTCCAGGAAAGCTCTCAAGCACCCGGCGATTGTAGTTCGTACATAGTTTGGAGTTCTTTGTGTGATATATTAACGTTGATTCCGAGCTTTGCCATTATCGTTCCTTCGTCCGTCTGCCTCTGTACATGTGTTGACTTGGACATGTCTTCCTCTTATTGTAATTTAAGCAATGTAAAACGCCGCGAGTTCAACTAGCTGTGCTCTCTGTGTCTCTGTAGGTGCGCGGTGCCTGCGCTGCTCTGCTCTTTCGCTTGTCCATATGATGATGATGCTGGGATTGTCTCGCTTGTACATATCTTTCACCAACCGTCTTTCAACGATCTTCTCCTGTCACACCGTGTAGTCGTCGTCGTCCTCGTGTCGGCCTTAAATCTTTTGAGATGGAATGGATTTCTCTATCTACGCCGGTGGGCATCGTGCGGAGGCAGGCTCGCGCGCCTCCGGCTCGGATTGATCTCCACGGCTAGACCGTATGAATTACCCTAGTTTCTCTACTGTGCAATCTTATGGATAGACTTCTAGTTCGTCACCACGCGCACAACGAGCTTAGATGGCCGGAGGATAGAGATCTTACATGTAGAGCAGTCATGCGACATCTTGCCGTCGCTCTGTCCTCCAATTTTGAAGATACTTTCCCTAGCGAGTTGCACCCCTTGATTGCATGCAACGTTGTATACTACCCATATACTCAATTATGTGTGAGGCAGCGCAACGTTTCTTTTTATCGATCATGCTGTGTTGAATTTGGTTCGAGAAATTTCACTCGGAAGAGAAGAATCGCGGTCACTCATCTCTCTTTCTGGATTGAATCGCCAACCGAACCGGGATACGCTTATCGTGTTCCTCGTTTAGATGTATGCGGGAAAAGCCCTAGGTTTTTCTGAATTGAATGCATGAATATGTCGCATTTTCCCGAGCGGTGCTTGCGAGGAATTTTGCACGCCATAGTGCGATTGAGGAGGTTGAGGAAGAGGAGAGGAGGCGATGTGAGGGAAAAGCGAAGGGCATGCGCTAACTTTGGATTTTGTACTTTGCCCTCGCCGTGGCCGTCTGCGCCTGGGGTTGCATGGCGGTGGCTGTGATCAGACACAAGGGGGAAAAGTCGGCAACCGATTTCTCACAGCAGCAGAACCTTTTCTGCAAAAACTGGGGTATCTCGGAAGTCGCCGATGCAACGAAGGAGGCAAGGCGAGGCAAGGAGGGGGGAGAGGGAGGGGAGTATGGCCTCCACGCGGCCGATCCTCAACCACAAACCGTGGACACTTCGATGCAATAAAAGTAGGGCTTTTCCAAGCTCTTACGTCAGGTCATGCACACACTAAATTGTATGCGATCTTTGGCAGGGCAGACGAGCAATGGCGAACTGATTCTGCCCCTCCGCGAGATGTTTACTAATGCCAGTAGCAGCGGAGTCCAGCCGGGGAACCCCAATTCCTGTCCTTCTGCGCAAATCTTGGCCATGCAAGTATCTCACTGCGTACAGGGTGACGTCGGAAAAGTCTAAGTCTCCCCGAACGTGAGTAGCTCTCTGTGCCCGGTGAGGGAAACATTCCGAGTAAAAACTTCCGGCCGGAGGAAAATATCGCCTGTGTTACACATCGAGTTAACCCTCGGGAGAATTCTAACCTCGAATGCCCTAAATTCGATACCCGCAACCCCAAACCCACCCCCAACACTAACGTCCGCGAACCCCAACGCCACTACGACGGACAGCTGGCGCGATCCACGACGTTGCCCCGCCTTTGCCGAAAGCCTAGGAACGGGGTGGGCCTACGTCGTGGCTGTGTATACACAGTCGTATGTCCGAGGTAGAGTTAGGGTACACGGCCCCAGAATCGATGGAGCGAGTATCCTTTCCTGCATCCTCGAGCGAGTGTGGATATTCAGGCCGATCGATTTTCTGGTGAAATGGCTGATGCGTTGATCCTCATCGCGCAGTCGTCTGCCTCTGGAGCAGGAGCTCTTGTGGCTGAGGATCGAGGGTCAGAACGGCCTGACGAGAGTTTATGAAGACAGCTTGCCGTTGTCGTTTCCTCGAGTCTTAATGAGCCCCGCCCCTCGATTCACCGTTTGCTCGGAGGAAAGTGATGAGGGATGGAGTTTTTACAGCCCTCGCGCTCGCTCGCTCGCTCGACGAAGAATCCTGAAATTGCGGACTTACACCTCCCTTCCTTCCGTCTGGCCGACGATGAATCAATCACGCAGCTCTTATGCGACGAATCGTCGGCATCTTCTCTCCGTCCAGCGACGAGGGAGAGGGGGGCTGCCTCTCCCGCGAGAGCACTGGCGGGGTCTGTCGAGGAGTACATTCTGCGTACGGTCGCGGGAGGGGGGCGAGCGAGTGAGTTTGATGGACATTCTGCTGGAGGACGGTGGTAGGCTAGATCGGCTACGTGAGCCCTTGATCGAGTCGACGGGTCAGCGCGTCAGGGTTTCGCAGCTTCATGTGAATGTGGTGGCAGGGGAAACAGGGGTTGCGACAGTTCTTGGTTCTCTGGTGGCCCGCAGAGCCACCTGAGCATGATGAGCGGCAACTTGTTCAAGCTGTCAGTAATTTTAGAGGACATGATGCATCCATTGTACCGACCGACAGTAAACCGGAGACATTTCTTTCTTGGGTCGATCTTGCAGCGATGATTGGCGTGACCTTTGCTCTCGTCAACTACCTCCAGATTTGGACGTTGAAAGGAGAAACGGACAACGGCCCCGGCCGAAGACGCCTTCCGTGCACTGGCTCTCGAGCGAACCAACGTTGTCACTCGGAACCATTCCTCTACGGACATCTCACCGCGAGCGCCATGGCCGGCCTCTACTAACAATTCGGGACCTGCTTTCGACTCCGGTCCGTCATTTTCTCAAAATGTATCCCTGAAATATAGAGTATTGGGGAAAGTGCGATTTCAGGTCTTCTGGCCATCATATTCCCGAATCGCTCCTTTCCTTCGGGTACGGTCTTTCTTTACTTCTGCATCCGCAGGAATTATTAAAGATTTCTGGACATGTTATCTGTGCTTGCCAAGTCGACCACTTTTCCGAGCATTTCCCAGCCAGCACCTCATCTACTCATGATTGATAATGACGGGCAAATCCTATGTGCGCTGTGCAGCCTCTAGCCCGCAGCCATCGTACGTCATTGTCACATCGGGGATCTCTACGAGGGCCCGGGACTCGCGGAAGGGCATGTATCAGGTCGCCCATTTCCGCATACCCAAATCACGTACGAGTAAATAAATCCAAGCACAGGAAGGTCCCCATCGATAAGTCCACAATGTGATAGAGAAGCGGGTTCCATCAACCTTTCTCCGAGAGAGACTCTGGTCTCGCCACCTCTCTCCGTCCAGGAGAGCCGGAGGGGTGGGCGCCATGGCCCCACGACTTTCTCGGACCTGTCAGAAATGGTCTCCCCGCAGAGCAACGCAGAGCCCTCGCGCGGCGTAGATCGATATATCGAGGAGGAAATAACACGCTCACGATCCGCGTCCAACGAGCCGGTGTCAGATTGTAGGCCCGATCGATGAAGAAAAGCCGAGCGACTTCCTGGGATGCACACCCCTACCTTCCAAAAGTCCGACCTTCCTCCTGCAGGCCCGGGGTCCCTAAATGGAGCGCCCTGTCGCTTTCCATCCGTGAACCACCTCCATGATCCACCACATCATCTGCGGATTATTACCCGACTCCGGACTCTAGAATGGACGAGGGAGTTCTGGCAATTTCCAGGCTCGCTCGCTCGATCGCTCGCTAGCTCTCCCTTCCAGCCGATGAGGATAGACAGAGAAGGTATGATGATGACCTCGAGAGGGCGGGCCGAGAGCGACCACTGACGGCGTATGCCAGACAGCTAAAGTTATGGTGAGGAGTGGAGTGTCATATCTAACCGAGACGCAGTGACGAGGGGCGCTGCCAAAAATAGGGGAATCCGCTTTCGCACCCACACCTCTCGTGTCTGAAGACAAACCATCGACACCGTCTCGCGTCCTCCTGCCACGCGATAATCGTGAGCATCCATCCAAAGGCCTACTTCCTCGACGACCAAATGGCACCCGCTGAAGTGGGTCACAGAGCGAGACTGCCCTCCGATCGAGCATCAGCCGACTCCATAGCTGACACCGGTCGCCCTAACCTCGTCGTCCCCGGTCGCCATTGCGGTCCTTTCCATCACCCGATGCATCTCTCTCTCCGTTGAATCTTCTTCCCCCACCACCATTGAACCCGGGAAGCTCTCTCTGTCTCGGCGCTTTCAACCTTCGCTTTGGGGGGAGAGCAACAGTCGTTCTAACCCCGCCCATGCCCCTCTGCAGTACGAAGTATGTTTTACCCGGTTGCCTTTCCACCCCCCTCCGGTACAACGTACAGCGGGTCACGTACTCATTGCCGAGGAAGGGGTAAAGCTTTATCTTGGACTCATTCCCTGCCTGGGGCTAACGGCAACTACACTTAGGCAAGAGAGCCAATCGCTCGCGGAGCTAACCGTAAAGTATGGTATTTTTTTTTCTGTCTGGATCCTCGTCTCTAACATACTCTGTATGTACATAATACTATCTTAGAAGCCTGAGGTGTCCAATTTAGACCATGACCATCTACGCAGATTGACACATGTTTGTGTGAGATTGACGTAGTAGTTTTCCGAACTAGGGCGTTGGTGATTTTTAAAAAATTAGTTCACCGAGTAATTTATAATCAAATTAAAATTTCGATAACAAAGAATTCATGTTTTTTGGAATTTAATATATAAATTGAAACATACATATTCATGTTCGAGTCTAAAATATATAAATTCGGTGATGTGAGTTGAATTCATTTTGCCCTTTTGGTTTGTATTTTAGATTTAGAGCTGTCAATATGTCTAATACAAACATATTGACTGCTCTTAACTGGTTTCGGTGGGTGGTGGTGAGTGACTGTTCTTAGTTGGTGGAATGATTTGTCTGCTTAATTTCGTTTATCAACGAAATTAACCAGTTGAGTGCTCGTTTATTAACGAGGCCTCAACTGGACTTGTTCCTATTGAAGATAACCAGATATTTTTGTTATACCTTGCACTAATTCACTAGTTAGTGCAATCTATAATCTCTTACATTGCAAAAAATTAACAGATAAAATTTGGAATAAATATAGACAATAATTTCATCCCCACAAGGTCTTGAGTAATTTGAATTTACTTCACTTGCTTGTTATGGTTTAGTGATTCAGTTTTAGAGCAGAATTGACGTGTTATTGTTGATGGTCATACTTATCACTATTTAATATGAAGTTAATTCTTATTTCAAACAGGGGAAGTTAATGTGAACGGTTGTATTTTTTCTTATAATCTTACAGGAGACTAATTCAAGATTTATTAATCTCCACTACAGATAGATTAGAAAGATGTTGCGCTAACTTGGTCGGAATCTTCGTTAGGATAATAGTTGCATGTTAGAGATATTGTGGGGCCTGGAGGAAGGACAAATATTTAGCTTGGAAGCTTTCCCTTTACCTTTGGGAAGGAAATTTGTTGGCTTATGGATTGTGCCACTTTTGGGTTGTATTGTCCGTTTTCCGCTTTCTTCCATGGGTCACCATGGTTCTTCGAAATAGCATTCTTCTAGGATGTATACATCATGCCTCGGGATTCTTTGCCTCATATCACTCCAACAAAACGTTGGACGCCTCTTGGACTCGTCTGACCAGGGGATTTGAATTCAATAGTTTTCATCGAGTAGTCAAGATTCCGATTTTCGTTTCAACGTGTTTGATTAAAAGATCTAATCCTCACTATTCAATAACTCAACAACATTTATGCTCTTAATGTATTTTATGATTAATATCCTCCGTGACTCTTCCACGTCACCCATATCAATGATGTCTAGCTTAGTTACCTCCATTATTAATTGAGAACTCTATCGGTGAGACTACATTAGATCTCACTCCCTGTCATTGAATAGCTGTCTAATGTCACTTTCAGTGGTGTCGGTCAAAATTGAGATGTGAATGATAATCATTTTCTCCTGTTTTCATTGACTTCAGTTTCCCAAAGTGTCAGTTACTTTCATAGGAAAATGACAATGTTCGTAAATTTTTGCATGACAGTTTCCAAAAAGTCTCAATCTTGTCACAACGTTTACACAGTTTCGCGAGGATATCTTTTTCATCACTTTTCCCAAGGAATCACTGTTTGCTATTTTTCAATATCAATGTCAGAACTTTATAGGTTTGGATATATTTTCACATGTTTCAAAATATAGAGTAGACAGATTAATCACTTTACCATCTACAATATTACCTGGTTCTTGTCTAAGCTTAATATTTTTCTTGGTATCAGAAATGTTTTAGATCAGCAGCGTATATATAATGAGGATGATTATCTTCCTCACTTCATCCCATAATATATACTGTAGTCTTGTTCAACATTAGGCTATATAAAGGATGGGTTATAGACATGTTTCACACATTTCACGAAGCTCAATGAGGATAATTCTTCATCACTTTACCCCAAATTTTGTGTTATGGTCTTATCCTAAACATGTTAAAGTTGTAATCAATTTGGTCATGGTTTTAACAAAAAGAGGTTAAAAAAATTTGCTGGAAGTTTTACGCAACCCTTTGATATTACATCCTCTTGCAGATCTAACTGGACTCACCAAGAACTAGAATCGATCCCCTCGAAATCAACGAGTTCTTATCCTGCCTTTTTCTTTTACTGGATGTTAGTACATTTGCTGAAAATGGCTGCTTCTTCCTCTACTTAGTTCCTCCTTTTTCACTTCCATTTTTTTCCCCTTTTCTTGAATCCAACAACCACTTCTCGAAAAATTGAATTTTTCTCCGTTGCGAACCCTAAGTGGGACTACTTTCTTTTAGCGAAAGATTTATTAGCTGGTCATTTTTGTCCTGAAATTTGGCACATGTAACTGAATGTTTCTCTTCTGTTTTACTTCTTTTCTGCCTTAACTAAATTATGGTGAGATTTTTCGTTCCATCAGTAAGTAAGCGATATGTTCCCAGAGTTTTCTCACATGATCGTCCTAATATAAATATACAATTACAACAATAAAAATGGTAAATATACACAGTCCTGGCTCAAAAATTCACAACACCAATCAAATGAGTAGCTGCGCTTAGTTCTGTAATATAAGCATAATCGGTGAACTTACAAATGAGACCGCTGCAAGATCACATCCTTAAAACCTTAATCAATGTTTTATTGCTTCGTGTTTGTTACACCCCAGGGGCGGGGAGTAAAATCCGTTGCAACAAGTACAGGGTCTAAACATGTCACAAAAGCGTAACAAACTGTGAGTGTTATTTGGAGGTAACGTACTGCAGTCGCCGAGGTGAATTGCTATTTACGGCTCCTCGTGCCCTTTGCCCTCGCCGCGAACTTGAGCGTGCATAGCTTTTGGAGAGGGGACGGGCTTTTTGTCCCACCTACGTCCGTTGCGTATATCCTGGAACAACGGAATGTGTCGAAAACGGGCGACAACCGGTTCTCCGGTTGTCGGCTTTGCATGTAATGCTTTTGGGGTTATGACTTTCCATGCCCTCGGAGAAGATCATTGCCTTGTAAATTGGACTGCGGGCCAAGACAGTCCCCTGCTTGAGAATATAATACCTGACGATTTGTATATAACCCGAGTGAGGCGCGGATATATTTCAAAGATCATATAATAACTTGATGTTGTACCTAGTCTTGTTACGAAGAATATAAAAGTGCATGAGATTTTTTTTCTGACTTGTTGTCCTTCCATTAGAAAACGAAAAGTGGAGACGCACGCACAAACTTGATGGCGAAATAAAAGAAAAATATCTGGGCATGCAGTAGAAAGAGTATTGCCACGAAGGTGGTATTCAGCGCAAAGTTAGAATGAGTTTCTGTCCTTGAATTTATTAAAAAAATAAAGAGCCAAAAATCAGCAAAAATAGTTGTAGAACGAAAGAGGATTGAACCTAAAAAATCCAAGGGCATTGTCAAGTTATGAATAAACTTATATTGATCCTTAATTGATAACTTATATATATTAACATCCTTTAATTGATGCTTCTCTAAGCACTTTTATCGATGACATGGAACTTTCTTAATTCATCCCAAATTGCTGGAGTTTCTTGAAAATATTCTAACCAATCTTCAAATGAGACATAAGCGGGTTATTCGCAACATTTACAGCAGATCGTTTGGAAGGGAAGTAAAAAATAGCAACTACCTTTTATCCATAATGAGCTCTATAGTTCTCTGTAAATATAAATGAAGTTTTTGAATTTAAAAGGGGGTGGATATGATGCCTATACACATAGTGCAAGTACAAGTTTTTATGTATTTGATGAAACGACAAAGATATATTTATGTAAACTCCGGCGAAAAAGTAAGTAAAAATACAAAAAGGGATGGGTTGTAATTGTTTTAATATACAATGCGTGTTATGAAATTTTCACTGAAAAATTAGTAATCCCATACCTTTAATAGCAAGCATATTTGAGTTTAAAAGATTAATGGATATGGCTTGCACAGCAGTAGTGTATATTATAAAGTATTTGGAGAGATAGTATATAATAGATACAAAAGCTTATTAGAATTTTAAATTTTTATAACATTAAGAAACACAAATCATTTACATTTCATCTGATAGGAATGATTTTTTATGTAAGTATATAGATTATCTTTTTTATTCTTTGCCTAAAGTATTGTATTATCCATCACTATGACAATTATGATTGATTTTTTCAAGGATTTTTTGACAAAGTATGTATGTATGTTCATAATATGTCTATTTACAGACATGATTAGATGTTGCGTTCCTGACGTTATGATATGATTGATTTACTCAATATGAACTCTTAATAAAATCATGTTGTGAAGTAATTGAAGAAACAATCATTTTCAAGGAGGTCCCATTAAGAAAGCACACGTTCAAGTAAGTAAGTTTATATATCAAGGAAATAAGCTCCTTAATTCTATAAAATACAGTTTCATTTGTGCCTAAATCTCTATGTTATTCAGGATTGTTTCATCGCAGGAGGGCGAAGATATCCAATAATAGTTCCAGAGTAACTGTCTTTGCAATTTAAGGTTTCCGTTACACGAGGAAAACCAAAGTGCTGTCAGTTGTGCTGTGAACGTTTTCGTGAACCTGAAGTGTAGATATGAGCTTCTAGTGTCTACTGTCTAGGCTAGAATGTAAACCTGAGGACAGATGGTTGCTTTGTTGACACCAATGAGTGGAGATAAATATCAGAAAATCATGTCTGACTTTGATATCAGATTTTTGTAAGAGCATCTGACCTAAGAATGACATGTCTACAAACTAGGCGAACCATCTTCTCTTGACATCAGACAAAATCACAATTCACGAATCCAACCTTTTACCGAGTGGTCAAACTCTGCCCTGCCGACAAAAGGTAACATGATTTTTTTCTCTCACCTGGATACAAAGTACGTGCAAAAATATAACCATGCCCCAGGCTGCACAATCTGAAATTTCTTTACAGTGTCTACCTCAACGTAGGTTGTATTCAAAGCCAACATTTTTGGGCATGAGCCTTCGGAATTGGTTCCAATTTGTTTTAGCATAGAAAGAAGAGTCTACAAAGTTCTAACTAAACTGCAGCCAACTGCAGAATGGTCATAGGAGATATAGCACCGTCCTCTGATCCATAGACATATGCATTGGCTATCAGATAATTCGCTCTATCGGTAGGATGATGGCGGTCCCAAAACACATACGAGTCTCTGTCCTTGCAGTATGGCGTTGTTGGTATGCAGGGCACCTCTGCTCCATAGTTTCCTTGTCCGCAACATGAAGTGTCTGCATTCACAAAGCCTGCGCATTCTCGGAACAAAACTCACCATTAGTTCTTTCGTTCTCAGGGTCAGGAGGTATAGTGAGCTGGAGCTAGAGCACCACTTATTGTGGATAATATGTTGCTACAAATTCTATAATACAAGATCCGGAAGGACTATCATCTAACCGAGTCCCAGAAGCGAACTGAAAAACTCTTGCTTCGCTGCTTCTAGACTTAATTCAGTACTTGTCAGAGCTGAGTGCTGCTACAAAATGAAGCAACTCTCAGCTCCTGGAAGTGTTGAAGTTTGCCGAGGAGATAGTGCATGATGCAAAGCAAGCACGCGATGTGAGGTCTACAGGGGAAGATTAATCTCCCACTTTTTACGCTGCTGAGCCTAGATGGGGTTCTTCTGTGCTGCTTGAAGTTAGGACTAACGAGTGACAGGCCTTCAACAGTGGATCAACCAAGTTGAACATGTACTTATTATTCACTCTGTTGAGGTCCATCTCAAACTTTTGTTCCTTGTGGAGATTCTGCAGGATCTCGACGGGGATACCATCACAGCTCGACTATCAGCAGTGTCACAAAAGAGTGAGAGCCTACACTCTGACATTGTAAAATCGTTCCCCAGTTCAGTCTCTGCTCTCTTTTTGTCAGCTAATGCGGTTCCCAAGGAAGATATTCAATCAGAACTTGGTAACGAAGCGTAAAACATCTGTTCGTGAACATGGCTCGCCTCAATTGTCATTCACTCTCTTCAGAGTGACGGTGCTCGTTAGCAACCAGTATTTGACGAACATCTCAGGGTACCACGGTGGTAACTTTGAGGCGAGAATCTGAGGCTCCTGAGTGGGGTGGAACATGTATTGTGACGTTTGTCATGTTACAACTTCAACTTGTTAAGCTCAATTCCGAAATTTTACATCTACGGTCATTGAATGTACTGGCTGCTCAGAAGGTACAGTATACCGTATTTGGTGCTGTTCTCTGTGAAAGCAATGAGCTGCTTGTAGGCATCCGCATACAGAATGTGCAGGCCCTTGTGCCTCTTCACCAGGAGCTCCGCCGCGTGCTTGATTGCCGAGTTGTAACCTCGAACCAGCTTGTTCACGGGGTCCTCAATGCAACTTCCATTAGCACTCTTGAAAACGTTGAGCTCGTTGGGGATGCAGCCCAATGGTCCCACTCCCGGCAGCAGAATCTTCCTGGCCCCGATGGTATACATCGCCTGCACATCAGGAATGTAGAATCATGGTCAACTCACTTCCACCGTGAGGAGGTCTAGTGCAGGTATTTCTGCAGGCCTGGTATTTTAGTTAGTGCTCCATATCACCTCTCCAGTCTGAATTGTCCAGAACATTCATTTCCATCGTGGTTAAATACTTTGTCTAAATTCTGCACTGGTTAATTTTCTTGTAGGGGCTTGGGCGCACTTTCTCATCATTCACTATAATGGTAAGCTTTAGACAGCTCAGCATGCTCAGTGGACACAATGTCAGAAACAATGTTGTGATGGAAAGTAAATAGCTCAGATGGCAACGCTCCACCAAGATTTCATCTGTACTCGAGTGATTTCGGAGGGACAGCTGATTCTGGCCTGCATGAGAAGTGTCTCGGTCATGAAAAGTTATGCATAGAGCTGTTTTCTCGTTTACTTTGCATGCTTTGATCCTCTGAAAATGTCGAAGTAAGGATCGGCTTACACTTTCACGTCAAGATGTGATGTTTCGTAAAGACGTTCTTGTGTTAAATGATGCGATTAAAGGGGACAATCGGACAGTTGTGTGACGGCTCTCAGCTGAGAGTCCCACCTCTTGCTGGCAGGACGTGCACACTGGTACAGAACCGGTGATCTACAAGGAGGAGCATAGATAGACATTGAGGGATGAGGAAACACAGATCTTCCTGAAACAACGTTTTAAGTAGAACTTTTTGGTTCCTTGGTTGGTCCTACAGCCGAGTATCAGCAACCAGTGAGAAAAAAAAATCTCGGAGCTCGTCCTTTATAACCGGAGTATGAATGAACTGAATCCACTCGAAGCTCGATACGCAATTGCACTGAGTGATGTCTGCTTCAGTACTTCTCGGTGCAATATTTGGTCAGTGCCTGCCACTTTTTTTCTGTGAACGTTTCTCGACATGAATCAGAATCACTGAACGTTGGCATGGTGGAGCAGGATGAGCCTCGTTACCTTGAGCTGCTGCGAGAATGTTGTCACGAGCAGGTCCTGATAAGCTTTGGGGCTGTAGACCTTCCGGGCTGCGGAGTTGGGCTGCAGGTAGTTGTTCAGATAGTCGTTGCTTCCCAGTACTACGAAGTAAAGGGCCCTTGCTAAAAACTTGGTGGTCGCCTCTTCTCCTCTACGGGCAATGAGGTCCTCCTTCAGGTTCGCGAAATACCCCAACTGTTGTGACATGGGAATCCGCCCCAACTGTACCAGCCAGCCATAGCCCGTCCGTCCATCAAGGGAGAACCCAATTAATTAGTTAACTTTCAGTTGTTCACCACCTTCTCAGACTTGAAGTGAGAATAATTTCATCGTATCTTACTGGCGGAATTGAGATTTGTTTGGGTAGTAACATCAAAAACACCTCTTTAAAGACCAAATTTTATCTCACTTTTTCCTGAATGTGTTGCAGAGAATAAGATTCCGACTGTAAGTATTCAAGCCATGGCAACGAAGTGTGAAGACAATCTGCCACTCAGAATTATACTGGCAAGGATGGCATAACGTTATTCAGCCCTGACAAACAGACATGTGTGATCAGTGTGTGAAGGTTCTGCTGGTCATCGACAAAGGTTGTTGCTCTTTGGCTTCCAGCATCAGCATCCTCTCTTGACATGAATGAACACCCTTGACCTTTTTGATGCTTGCTGGGATGGGCGGAAATATGAGACAAACTGAACCGCTCAGACGATGAAGCTTTGGACGGCTCGACCTCAGCAGCCTATCGAACCTCAGTTGCACAAGCTTAGAAACAAGTTCCCATGTTCGTTAACGACTCGCTCGTGCTTTATGTCTGTTAGAGTGGTGGGTCGAAGGTGGAGAGCAGCGTACATAGTTATAGCCCGAGTCATCAAGAATTCCAGCAGCACCGGAGGCAAAATTCACTCCATTCGTAAATCCTTCCAGTCCCTCCTCTGTCTGCAGCAAAACTAGGTAGGCTGGCACGGGATCGATGCCCACCATCAGGCCTGCTTCCAAACAGACAAACCTCGAAACTCACTCCACGTCCAAACTCCAACAACAATCGACACCCTCCTCTCTTCATACTCCTACTCTCCGAGATGTAGACTTGGACCTTTTCTGCTGGAATCTACCACCGAGACGAAAAGTCTCGAGCCCTGGCGAGCTACTGGTGAGAGCTCGCGGTGACTCAGAGTCTATCTACACATGCATCCTCTGCCCACCCTTGTCTGCATGTTGAATTGCAGGTCAGGTTTGCTTGGCATGTGAAGGTTTTGAAGGTTCATGGAAACTAATCAGAGATTAAAGACCGATCCCCCGCCTCACCGCCGTAACAACAAATAACCATCGCCATCATTCTGCAATTCGGGCACGACACTCCCCGATCCCCAGCCTCAATGATTCAAGAGTCTCGAACGAGCCCTTGGACCACACAGGTGGCCCGACGGGAGCAGCGGACTTTGCTTTTGCAGGCTATGGTGTTCCCGCGCTATAGGAGCATGCAAAAGGCAGGGCCAGATAAGGAATGTCCTTTAGCATTAAACCAACGAAAATTACAAAATAAAGAAATCGAATGTCGGCGAGCTTTTGCTGCCCCGTAACTGCATGCATGGTCCTCCTCCCCCCTCCCTCCCCCCTCCGATGTAGCTGCAAGCTTGCTCCCCCCATCCCCCACTCTCCTCAATTTTAACCTCCTCAATCTCGAGCACTTCGGCTCTATCCGATCCGAAACACTCCCTCCCTCCCGGTTCGTGCGTGCACTCTTATCACCTGCGAGAACGATGGCCTACACGTGATGTCATCTCGGTCCCCACAAAGACCCGAGCCTTTCAGATGCTGCAGCGCTGGGCGGGGGTCAGATCATGGCAAGTACACGACCGAGGTCAGCTGCGGTTTGTCTTCTGGGAATTTCTACTGGCCCAGAAATTTCTACTGCAGCGATCGGGGTATGGAGATGAGACCCGCACCATCTCGTGTCAGTTCCGAGCTCTACGAATCGCGGAGCCATGGAAATGTCGGCTGGAGGGAGAGAGGGAGTGCGCACCGATGTAGTCGGCGATGGTGCGGCCATTGCAGAAGCGGCCGGTGGGCCAGCCGGGGCCGAAGTCGATGCCGTTCGGGGGGAAATCGGCGCGAGCCAGAGTGGCCAGGAAATTGTTGTTGCCATTGTCGACCAGCGAGTCGCCGAAGATGAACATGCCCGGGAACAGGCCCGCCGGCGAGCCTGCTGCGCGAGCTCCGCCGGCCTGCCACAGCCCGCAGCACAGCGCCAGCAGCAGCGCCGCCGCCGCCTCCTCCCGCCATCGGCTCCTCGTCCTCGGCATCTGAGCACCCCACCCACGCAACTCCTCGTTCAGTTCAGCGCAAACCAAAATCTTCAAGAGCTCCCCCCAAGGACCTGGAATTTTGGGGCAAATTTTGGGCAATTCTAGTTCCACAAGCTGGAGCTCGGTGCAATTAAGAGATGAACAAGCGATCGACGACGTCGAGAGAGAGTGGTCCACGATCTACGTTCGAACATGAGGAGCTTTCAGCTCGCGGCGTCGTTCGAGGGAGGTCTCGATTCTCGCTGGACCGATAGAATCGACAGATTGAAGTAGAGCACGAGAGTTTGAGCTCCAGCGATTGCTCAGGGCATCGTTTATAACATGCATAGGTGGATCCTCGCGGACTTTGTCATTGCCATTAGTTTAGCCATCGAATGCTCGTTCATTCTCGTTTCTGTTACACTTGGCTGTTCTTGTGACTCACCTGTGTCTGGCTCATTGCCCATTTTCGTCCTTCCATCGTCGGACAGAAACTGGTTTCTGCACGTGACTTCTTACATGAGCGTCTGCCTGCGAATTCAAGCTCTCGGTTTCTCTTCAGACGGCGAGAATCTCGAGCCTGCGAGTGAGAGTGATGCTCAGAGTTGCGATCGACGACACGGTCGGCACATCGTTCAGGGACAGTGTGAGATTCCTCTCCGAGCTGAATGTATCGCAGGACGGGATGTCGAGAGAATTGCTCGGCCCGACGGAGTACTCGATGCGATTCGATGACGGCTGAAGATTTTTGCCCGATGCAAAAATGCGAATGCTGGGGTCTGTTCGGATGGATCTGAAACACTCGAGCAGCCGAGCCGAGCCGAGTCCGTTACACTGACTCAGCTCTGTTCCTCGCGGGCTCGATCGATTCGATCGGTGGCGGTGAAGATTCTTCGGGTCCAGCACTTTTGCAAAGAATCGCGCGATCCATGCAAGAGCATCGTCTCGTGCGCAAAGAAGTGGATCGGAAGACGTTGAAGCGATCGAGGCGCATCAAGAACCTTCGGTCAACAGAATGTACGCAGACATAAGTCCTGGCGGCGCCATTCCCTTCCCTTCCCTTCCCTTCCATACGGGGGCTTCCATTTGCCGTATAAATGCTCGTTCCTGTAAGTGGTGTCAACAGAGGGTGCAAAATACGCCATCGGGTCCAGCCAGGCAGAGAAAAAGCGTTGGATATGTTGACGGATAATTTTTGTGATGATACATAGCTTCAGTATAAATTACAAGGCTGATAACATCGTTCATTGATGGTCTAAATGTCCTCTTTACATCGTGATAGGTAAATATAAATGGCATGATAAAATCTGGAGAAGATCATATGAAAGCATTGCAAAAGGGATAAAATCGAATAGGCTTAACGTCTTCTTCTCTAAGGAGGAAGGAAACTGAGATAAAGTATAAGAATTAAATATAATATTAGGGAATTTAACGTCAAGAATTTAAGAATGAAAGTGGACGTGGTCACTGAATAAGTCTTCAAATGACACCTATCCTGAAATCTACCATGTCAATACGACAAAATCTAGTGTCAAAACCTCAAATGAACCTTTCAATCAATAGCAAAAGCATGCTACTTTGCAATGTGAACACGATCCGGTTCACTTGTGCTTACATCGAGAGTTGTCAACAGAATTTCTAATGTCATTGTTGGAATGTTTGTTTGGAAAAACTCCTACTCATTCAGGTTGATATGATGATGATACCCCACTAATTTGAATCTTCATTATTCAACTCGTAGGAACAAGAGAATTCTATCAGAGGGATATATTATAGTACCGCTTTCATTACTTGAGATTGCATCATTTGAGTAAATGGCTCAACGGTCGATTTGTCCCGTATGCAAATTGATATCCCCTTATTTTGATGACATGCTTATTGAAACTTTTATCAAACTCTAAACCTATGGAAAATCACCTGTACTTAGAAAAGTAAACTATATATATATATATACTCTCAAGTAATGAAGTTAAGCAATGAATTTCATTGCTGACACGTGAGTACATGACTTGGGTTGACGCATCCTTTCAAGCTAGCTTCCATAAACCGGGGCCTTTGAAGAGAGTTTCAGGACATGAAAAGCAAACCGCTTGTGTTACGATCATATGTTGTCTGACAAGCCCAACTCTCATAAAAAAATTTTCCTTCTTTCTCATTGTTCATATTATTTAAATCATTATTCATTTACCAATTTTTAAAAATTTTGGTAAATGGATCAAAATTTAATGAAAAAGAAAATTTTAATATAAAAATGAGGGGTCACTTTTTCATTTAAAATATCAGTTGCAAGATTTTATTTATTTTTTATTATTTCATGTTAAAATGCAAAGATTTGAACTTAGTCAATATACATCTATAAGTTTTATATTTAATCATTTGATCTACTCAAATGTACAGTTTTATGTTGCATTTCATATTTGAAAAATTTATGAAAAATTTGAATTAAAAAAAACTACTAAAACTCTAACAAAATTGTTTTAAAAAAAATTTTGAAATGTTTTACACGGATCAGCCTCTTATATATGATATAAAAATTTGGATTTTGTTGCGGTGCAATCATATTTAAATTTTAATACATACTTATTTGTAGTTGAATAAAATGATGTTTATTTTACAATAAGTGTAAATAGATAATGCAACAACTGATGATTTTATATCAAAAATTAACAATCAATGGTTTTGTCTTCATTTCTTTCTATTTAAAGTAAATAATAATAAAATGTCATTGCAATTTTTTATCAATATTATAAGATTACTTTATTTAATTTTATTTTTTATAAATTTTTTAAATTTATGACATTCATTATGTACTGTTTGAACTGCTCTATCTTGTAAATATTCTTTTATACGTGAACACTAATTCTAAATGTATGTACATAGTTATTCAAATGATTCAAGAACTATCAATATTAATCAAATATTTTGGTTACACATTTTTTAGTTTTCTTCATTTCCTATATACACTTTGTAATGACACGAAATTCAAAATGATATAAATGGAGAATGATGAAAATGAGTCCTATGTATAGAAATTATGTACTGTTCGAACTATAAACATATTTTATTTGATTAAAAGAAATAAAATATCTAGATGTACAGAAATCTGAAGAAAACTATATATTATAACTAAATTAAAATCTTAAAATTTTTATTTATTTTACATGTTATTAAATCATAAAAGAGCACTCAATTTTCCATCTTTCATAACTACAATTCAGTCTAATGTCAAAGCTATACACGAAATTTATGATCGATACATTCAAAATTGTGTAAACTTTTGTACACAGTTGTATGTCAATGAAACATAAATATATAATGTGTATATATATTTATTTATTTATTTATTTATTTATTTATTTATTTATTATAAGTTAGAATTAATTTATTATATTGATATAACAATATAAAAAAATCTATCAATATGGTGTATTGAAATTCTTTGACTTCATTTGTAATTTGTATTCAATCGAATGTATGCATAAAGATGTTGAAGTTAATCAGTATAAATAAAAACAATCTAAAGAGTTGAGAATAGACCAACATCCTACTATGTCAACATGTAATTATGTTTACATGTAGAAACATTTTTAAAAAGTGGAGTTTTCTAGTCTATTTATGCTTCACGACATGGATAGACTACAGGGCAAATTCAGCTCTGATGAAGTATTTACAACGAGATAGTAATTCATGGAAGTGGGAACAGAGAAACTTGAGTTAGTGTATGTAGAATTGAAGGAACCTGTCATTGTGATCTGAAATATTCTGTCTCGTGTAAAACTATGCTGTATCCTTCAGCCAGTTTCGATAAACTTGACGCTTAAGCTATTTTGCCAATTTTGAAGAGTTTGGGTCTAACCAATCTTCTATCCCATCTGGTTTGATCTCTAAAAGAACGCTTTACTTCTCCTTAAGTCCAAACAGGGTTGTGTTCTTGTTCCAGGCCAGATGAGCGTAGAAGCAATGTCTCTCTAAGTAAACGCAAGCTCTTGCCAGGAGCATTAGCAGGGAAATACATACACGTCAACGGAAGAAAAATAAAAGAAAAAGAGACCACAAAACTTACCGAAGAATCAATCTGATTGCCCCGAAAACTTAATCGACAGTCAATCACACTTCTCCTTGCACGTTTTGAATACGGTCTCGGAGTCGTAATTCCCGAACGACAAAACAGTATCTCTTCGGCGTTTTCGTGTACAAACTAACTCAGTAAACAAGACTTGAGTAGAATCACTGAAAACTAAGAATGAATGCGATTTCTTAGGACAGAATGCCAAAGAAGAGTCCTCCTCAGCTGTGTTGGCCAACCATAATCAGAGATTTGAACAAAATGAGCCACAGTAGGAAGCGGACAGGAAATTCGTCGACAAAATCTTTTCGAGTCCTCGAGTGTATGTTACATTATTTACAGAAATATGTTGCAGATAATCTATATATAATGTTAGAGACCGACACGAAGCCCGTCAATAACACCGGCATCTCCACCAGACCTGTTTCGTGAGTCTTCCAGTTCGAAAGTATCTATCAGGCCTTCCAAGTGAAGCACCCTCGATCGTTTGAAAATTGGTTCCTGGTGACATCCGGGAAAAAGACGTAGTGTACGTTGCTTTCAGATCAAAGCTCTGAACAGGTGAGGATACACAATTCTTGTATCAATTGTTCTACCTGCGTTGTTGATGTCGTGGTAGACAGAGGCGACTCTCCCAACGATCGGTCACAGATCAAGGAAATATTAGAAATATGCCAGCCTTAGCTCAAGACAGCAAGCAACAAAGGAAGAAAGCTGAGGTAAACGAGACGATGATCGTAGGAAAGGTGAATTCCTTGCCCCTACTTGTTAGCAACCCACATCTCCTTTGTCGTTCAGACACCTCTCGACTAGGAAACGCAGGCTCAGCTATGGCGCCCTCACCGTCTTTCTTCCTCAATTCGTCTATCTCTTTTCTTGGTCAACACAATCCTCCAAAATGCAGTCAAGACCAAAAGGTAATCCTCAAGAATGCCAGCGAGAGTGGTTGCCACTAACTACATGTTGCAGTCGACGTCTGCGCTCCTCTCCGGTGTAACATGACAACCACCAATCTGCTAAGCACTAAAAATCATTCACTACAGGCTATCAACACAATTGAGCAAGGGCCTAAGAGACATACGGCGACCTAGATGCCATATTTACTACGTGAGAGTGAGTCTGCAGCTGGCGAATTTTAGATGTAGTAGCTCTGAACATGAACTGTTCTCTGGAGAGCATTCTCACATGCTTCAGATACGCATCCACGGGTATAGCTCCATCCCGGACGGCCCTATCCAGAGAGTACAATATGTCTTCTATGGCAAGATCCCCGGATGTACATTCTAACATCTGTTTGGACAGTGCGTCCGTGGGCTCAAACACATCGTCAATTTCGACATCCATCATTCCCCTGTCGTTTATTTTGAGCCACGACTCGATAACATCTGTGTTGGTCAGCAGGAGCTGTAATTGCTGCTCCAATCCCTCCCTCTCCTGTTGCATCTCCCGGAATCCTTTCTCTACCTGCTCCGCTCTTTGATTTAGCAAAGCCTGTGTATGGAACAATCCATCCATTTCCGTATGACTTTGTCGCAGTAGTGCAGACGTGTCTCGAACCACTCGTTCCGAAAGAGCGTTGATGGCATTTTTCTTAAAGACTTCCGCTGGACTCTCCGTTCTCGGGACTTGAAGTGGAAGGGCGGTCGTAGTGGCCGTAGGAGAATGCTGAGTGTAGGGTGGATACAGGGCTCTTGGCGGAGGCTGAGCAATGGGAGAGAAGCTGTTTGCTGTGGGAGATGCAGTTTGGACGACTGACGCTGACGCTGCCGCTGAGGTGCTGGCATGCATAGGATTCATACCATGAAAAGAAGGAGTCGGCGGCAATGGAGGAGGAGGTCGGAGATGAGTGACGACAGCGGGTCGCGAGTACAAGGGTGGATCCTGCCCGAACAAAAGAGATGTACTTTGAATCAATTCAACCAGGTTGGAACGGGGATATACCCATTGCTGCAAATAGGGAATATTGACCATACCAGAGGCGTCTACGTAAGTGTGCCGTGGTTTTATGATCATATCTCTCGTAGGAGTCACATACACCAGAGGGCAATTGCGCGGATAGGCCTCCAGAAGCCACAAAACTATAGGAATGTTGTATTTGACATCTTGGAAGTACATGGGAATCGTCCCGTCCGCTTGCAAAAGATTGACCGTCCGCCCATCGTTATGCGTAAAATTCGCAGTCTTAACTTGCAACCCCGGAAAATCTTGTAGAAGTGTCAGAAGGTGCTGCCGAATGCTCCACTTCATACCCTCGTCATAAGGAAGGGCATTCGGGCCTCTTTGCGAAAGAACTGAGTTTAAAAACTGCGCTGACGCATGAGAAGTTTGGGCACCAGTGATGATAGGCATGCTTCTCGGGGTTTCCTGATGCCCTGTCTTCCCCGTCCTCCGATTCTATTTCGTCCCCAAGTTCGGAGTTCCTGCGCAAGAAGACTCAACCGCCACGGGTATGCGTCAACTCGACGAAAGCACGGCGCTTCCACCAGCCACCACGGTCCGGCGGTACGCAAGCTTCGACCTCTCCTCCACTCGCACTACGGACGTCTGCTGACAGCCCGTGCTTTCCTCGAGAACCAAGCAGAATGTCCGACCCAGCCCGACACGAGGACAAATCCAAGAAGAAAAGGCTGAGTCGTCGAATCCCTTTCAAAACTGGGAATTTCTCCACCTGAACCACGACCGACGGTCCTCAGCTCCTCGAAGCTCTCCGCAAAACCCACCGCTCTGACCTAATCCTGACTTCCATCCTTTCTTCTCATATCCGAACCAAGACACCACTCGCTCTCGCTATCGCTCTCGCGCACGGGGCCTATTCTTCTTGCGTCCAGCGTCCGGCACTCTATCCTCTGCCTCGTCCTCCCCGTCGCAATCTTCTACACCATTCGCATCCACAATCGGATCGCCTTCTCCATAACGATCGCGGCGGGGAAAACTGAACGAATCGCCCACCGACCGGCTCCGCTTCCCCTCGAGGCCGATTTACTCGAAGCCCGTCCCGGCCTCTGGCTTTCTTCTCGTTCTTGGTCTCCCCTCGCTGTCGGAGTCGCGCAACGCTAACAGCTCCCCCTCCCTCCTCCTCCTCCTCCTTCTCCTGCAGCGAGGGCATCGAGAGCACACAAGGTGTAGTAGATTCACCCGCGACTGACGGTCCGTTCGGTTCCGATGGACTGCACCGGACGAGACTGGCAGCGCCGGACACTCTGTGCCCTTTCTGGTCGCTCCTTCGTTCCGTCCTGCGGCACTACCCTGCTGCTCCTCGTCGTCCGGACCCCGCTCCTCTGCCTGACCCATGCGAAAAGTGGGATACGGAGTTCAGGATGGATGGATGGATGGATGGAAAGAGATGGATGGATGGATGATGCTGGATTTCATGCAGCCAGACAGCGAGACCTGACTGACTGACTGCCTGCCTGCCTGCCTGCCCGTAAGCCCCTGTTCACATGGGCCCAGAAGGCAACCGTACATGGATGGCGCGGATCCCGATACCCGACGTCGTCACTCGTCAGGCGCGACGGCGTGAATCGTCCTTTGATCTCGCGGAGCTCTCTCCGATGCGACGACCTCTATGACCACGTCACGTTACTGTTCTCCGGTCTTCCGTCGTCGTTTTCTTCTCTGGAAGATGCTGATTTCACCGGAAGGAAAGACGCAAACTGATCATTTGCAGTTACTTCTTTAACCCAAACTAGCGAATGTTTGTCATGGAATTTTGAATATTTATCCCCCACGAGGCAATATCACAACTAAAATGGATGGTCTTATCTAGCTTTCCACTCTCAAGGATCTTCGGGTTGAACAGTTGACTTTATAAATGGACTGGAGTGCTGGTGATAGGGACGAAAAAATATTTTATATAACAGCAATTAGAGATGGCTAAGGTTATCCATTTGCGCCTTGTGTATTTTGACTGTTGGAGGAAAATCAAATTAAAATATTTACTGTTTAGAGGCATAACTTACCCTTGGTTTTTTATATGTGTACAAACATACATATTACACAAATCAAATATATAACCCTTCATGTTTCAGGTCACCATTTACGCATGAACTTACGCACCATATACCATTTACTACTATTGAAAATTTCGCAACACTAGTATGACATCCACAGAATGCTGCGCGCAAATTTGGTTTCTATGAGGAACATGCAGAATATATAGTTGGAATATATACCCTTTTCAGAAAGATGTGACACTTGTGAATGCATGTTTGTGACCTTGTGTGGTGTGCTATACATTAAGGTGAAAGTTCATTTGAGATCGTATGTGCATCACATTATTTGAAACCAAACATATATTGATTTAATTCCTCAGAGTGCCCAAAGCCAATAACTTGCAACTGTACAGAAATTTGGTACATCCGGTTGATAGTTCACTACAGTAGAATGAGATCATCAAGCTCGCTAGAGAAACTACAACGGTACCGGTTACGAGAATTGGTGAGGATGATAGAGTAGATAACAGTTGCAACCACAATGTATACTACTTTAAGTACCTATATGGAGATTTATCCCTACGTACTTTCTTCACAAAAGCAATCTAAGAGCATATTTTATATACAACAGTTTGATCCGATTATTCCTTGAATTAGATTTAATTATCATAGTCTACATTGACGTAAGTATGTATAATTTTCTCCAAAAGATTCTAATTACAGAAGTATCAAGCTAAAACTTGGTTCAGACTTTATACATTATATGACTCACTAATGACCTTCTTGCATAAAAAGTTTTACATATATCAAAACCTTGTCAAATTGCAAACGCTCTATAATTTGTCAAGATGTGAGGATTTGAAATTTTGCTTATAGATAGAGCATGTAGAAAGCAAATTTCGTTTGTTCCACTTGAAAACTGTATCAAGTCATTTCTAGGAAACTCTCGCTCTCTAAACTCGAATACTTCTTTAATTGCCAGTCTTACTTGGACTGAACTGTAGCCATAGGAAAATGAGTATAGGTAAATGGAAAATATTTGACCCTATCAAAAAAATATTTTGTTTACTAGGGCTTACATAGAACCTGAATCAAAGTTTTGAATCTATTGCATGCAAATAGATGTCAAATATTGACAAATTGTCAAGATGATGGTTTGAAAAAAAATCGCCATTTTCATTACATGTATTCCTCTTATGTATGCTCCATAAATACTGTTTATGATTAAATTAAAAATCATGTATTTAATTGCTTGTTTTTCATGGTCAGAAGATGACCTGCTCGAAGCTCATAATTTCTTGATCACATATGTACGATCTAGTTTTATTAGTCTAATTATTCACATAATTCAAACTTATTTAATCCATCTCAAAAGAAATATTCCGTTGACTCTATGAAAATTTTGTTCACTATTTTGCTAGTCTTCAAACAAATATTTAAAAAAAAAACTTGAAAATTCTCATGAAAATATATGAAATGTGATCTGAAATATTTTTTGTCACAAATCATGAGATATTTTTTTGCAATAATTGATATATATATATATATATATATATTGCAATGCATTGCATTAGTGCAAATCGTTTTATGATCATGCATGTGACTACTAATTGGAGTAAAATTAATATGATTATGCGTAGGAATATGTTATGTGATACACTTCTTTAGTATGATCATATTAACATGTTTCAGATTTACCATTTTTAGAAAGTAAATCATAGATTATATGACTTTTAAATTTACGCAAAGTTTCCAAGTCAATACACTTGAATTGACTCGTCTATAAAGTTTATATTCTAGTCTAAGATTCTATGCTTTTGTTTATGTCAGTCTTGTATTATATCACATCTCTCATCTTTCAATTATATTCTAAGTGAAGTTTGCTTTTGATGTTTATGATGTGAGCTCTAATACATATCGCAATATCTACAATATCTTTAGTCTACTTTGATGACAACAATCTACAGTGGGTGAAGTTTTGAATTCTCAACCTTGCAGTTAGTCCAATTCAGAAACCTGTTGATATCCTCTCATGAATCTTATGTTGGTCCAGTGATAACCGTCATGAGATTAATATTGGTGGTCATGGGCTTCTCTTTGGCACCAGAGTGCTAGTTTTTTAGCTGTGATAAACGGGTGCTCAGATTTCAACACTTGTAAAACCGCCACACTACAATGACACTATGCAGTATTATCAGATGACATGCAAGTTAACCGCACTGTAATGCGACAGGAGTGATTCGATCTTTGGATTCACCCCGTGAAAAACCCACGAGACTGTAATCTGATGGGCATCTCCATCAATAATAATATGGTGGAAGTCCAAGAGACATTGAAGCCATCTACAGAGAGATGCGAGAAGACTACTTAGCAATTTGTGTAATACTTTACAACGAGAAGGGGGAGTAGCACTTGTGAGTAGTTCTAATTCAATTTCCAAAGATGAGTCCTACCATTGGTCTATCAATACATATGCAGTTGTATGTCTTCTAATAATGTTTCATCTTCCACATTTTCATCTCTTATTTGCGCATACACCTGTTGGCTGGTTGTTGATTTTGATCCACTTTCTGCAGATAATTTTTGCCTCTATTCTCAACTTCTTATTGCCTTGGACATCCCCTTACTTTTTTTTGGGGATTTAAATAACATGCCATTCTCCAAACCTGTTCGTTAGTGCCAAATATTACCAAGGCTTAGAACCATGTGTTAGAAGCCCCTTTGATTGTGCTTCTCGGATCTGTGCTCTTCTGTTTCCTCGAGTATTAAGTCCTTGTTACTTATAAAAATAAAATTAATCAAACTTTTATTACGTGATCAGGCATTAGATTCCATATATATTCAGGTACAAATGTTATGCATAAGTGCTATATGATGAATAAAAAATTATCATCTAGCATCCATGCAATGAATGCTTCATTGATTTTATACTATTATTTTCTGTGTCTTGGACGTGAAACACAAAAAACCTCATTTCTGTGATAATTGTCACTGGGATGATTTCACTTTTTAAATAATATTAGACTAGCAAAAATGTCAAAGAGAGTTGTAAGGAGGTGGAACTCAAGTTTAGATTCCTAACTGCTGTGAAGTTATATATTCAAAAAGTAAAGTGAAGAGGGTTGGTGATGATAAGAACTTAATGTTTGTTGTTGACATTTAAACGGGGGAGATATTTTTTATAAAATGCACCAAGCGGTCTTCCGGGCTCTATCGAACCTCTCTGTCCTTCAACAACAAAGTTTCGGTTCGGTCAATGACCACTCGGTCAGGCCGACACGAGAGAGCTTGCATGTGAAGCAAAGTCTCAGTCAAAGACGATGTACTGAGCAATCACTGTCAATGTCACATTAGGTCTTTGTGCTGGAGCGTCACACAATTTCGTAAAAGGGCAGAACTTCACAAGCTTTTAATCAAATCTAGTACTTTAAAACCTGTAGGACAAATTTTCAGTGGGTCAAAATCACGCTGTCTTCCAGAATAGAACATGATGGAAGTACCGTTCCTCGTTCTGTAACTACTGTTCCGCAACCAAAGCTTTCGATATATCTTTTAACTCTGATAAATATGAAGAGGAGTATTATTACCACTGAGAAAGTTTTCAGCAGATGCATATGCAAGTCAAAATTACTATGAAATTTCAGTGATCCTATTTGAGTATGTTACTTTAAATTATACGTTATCCATGATCGGGCATGTCAATATCTTAACAAGAATTTTGAAAAGTAGTGAAGAATGCCTGATTTTTCTAAGGGCTTATCAAGACATAATTAGGGAAGTGCATTCCACTTTTTCAAATTGAGGGTAGAATTTAGAAAAAGCTTCCCCATGTAAAAACCGTTGAATCTTACATAAAGCTTTCACATAAGACCTTAATCTCGTGGTGGATTTGAGATCGATCTAGTCGTTATCATGGACATAAATTGTAATATACTTGAATAGCTATCGCCTGTTGTGCCTATCTAAACAGTGAATCTGAACAGAAAGGAAGTCACAGGGATATCAAAGAACTCTCAAAGAAATTCCCTACTGATTGGAATAGTTCAAGCATATCGAAGATAAGTTATTGTGGTTATAACTTTGAAGTCACTTGAGTTGCGTCATGGTTGCATCAGTAACTTCATATAACTATATTGGTTTCAATTTCTGAGGATTGAGATCAATCTCGGAATACTTTTTTTTTTAACAACTAAAGCCAAGGTAATTGATCTTACGAAATATTTCCAAGCATAAATAAGTGCAAATTCTTCTTTTCAAAGTAACTCATATAGAAACTTAAGTTCTTATCATAAAATCAGATTTTTCCTAACTTTAACACATGCTAATACTTGGTTACTTAAAATTTCTGTCCATATCAAATATATTGTTACACCATTGTACACATCTAATGCTTATTTCGTTCAATCTTGATAATATTTTTTAGAAAACATTCTTTGATATGATTTTTTGATGTTATTCTTGCTATCAATCACCAAAAAATCCATTTTCACAAAATAACTATACCAAAGACACTCTAAATGCAAGTTAAATTTTCTGATTCAAATATGAAGTATGTCTATCGAATTGATTCTTATCTTGAATCGTTTTTATTTTTTCATGAAATTTATACACTATTCCGGCTGAAAATAATTTCAATCTACATGCATATTTATTCACTATGTTTTTGATAATATAAAGATAGATGCATGTACTTTGCTTTAAAATGATTGTATATATATTTACTGATCTAGTAAATTTTTTTTCTCATTCTACTCATCTAAACGTGAAGATATATTTAAAAAAAGAGAATTTAATTTTATAATTTTAATATAAATAATAAAAGATTTTTCTTTTGTCTTTTTAACAGCATAAGCCAATGCAGTTTTTTAAGATAATACTTTTTTCAAATTTTCAACATATTTTATTTATTCTAATGATTAAAGTCATTTACCTGCATTTAATCTTGAGAAATTACAATTTTAACTGCACATTATTTTTTTCAAGAAAATCTTGAAAATTTACAATTTTTTTATGTATATAGAAAATGTTAACTTGTATGAGAGATCCAATGGGAGGTTTTCATAATGATCTTTGATAAAATTAAATTTTTAAAAAAAGTTACTGTGAAGAAATTATTGTTTTCAGATCTATATTTTTATATTTAACTCATTTTTTACATGATAATTATAAATAGATATTTTTTTTCAGAAAATTTTCACGCTTTTAACGTTTTTGTATTCCAAGAACCAGTGTCAAGTTCATACATAACATTTAAAATTCAATTTAAAAAATTTTAGTGGAAAAACTCAGCTGATTCAAAAGAAAACTCTCACTTTTTTATGACTATTTTGAATCTTAAAAATATTATATTATCTACTCCGAGAATTGAATGAAGCATAAGGTCAAATTCTCGTGATCTCTTCATAATAAGTTAGGATATTAGAACCTAGTATCAAAATATCTAAAAGTAGAAAATTATTTGACCTTTAGTCTAAATCATTGGCTTAGTCAACGAAAGACTGCCAAGTAGCAAACGCAGTCCATTGGCAATGGAACTCTCAAAAGGCATCCCACAATCCAATGTCCGGGGAGTAATGAATGACTCAGCCAGCTGACTTTGCTGTGAGACGAATAGTTCGAGGAATATACTCCAACTGATATACTCCAGTCACGACCGTGACTGGAGCGAGTGTCGCGGTCGCTGATGCAACGAGTCTCGCGTGTCGCTTTCCCATGTCTCGTCGCAAGTGTCGAGTATTTGAAGCCAGCCCTGACGCGCCCTCAGCGGAGGCACTTGCGCCGGAGAAAAATCAAGAAACGTAGTCGCTGTGAGCTCAGGGATATGGAGGATCTGCTTTTGTCCAGCATCCGCAGCAATGAGTTCTCCTGCATCGCGGAGAATGCCCCTCCCGCAGAGGTTCATCCTCTGTAGCCTGCCTTTTCGATTACAATTACTCGATTCCCTTTTTTCTTTGTGACTTGAATCTGCTGGTGAATCTGCATTTGTTGGTTCCAATTCTAGAAATTACGCGTTCGTTTTGGCGTCGGTGATGATCGATGAGCTCGATTGATGGCCGCGCGTCTTTTCAGGACCGTCCTGCTTTTTATGATGCAGAGGTGTCTCTGAAGGCGATCGTGGTCCTGTGAAGTGAGTGAATGTCTTGCTTCCTCTTAACGGGCAGGAAGCTGATTTACCTGTACTCTGTTTTTTAAGCGGACTTTTTCTTCCAGATTCTTTTGGATTTCGCTGTGTTGGTTGCGTCAAGGTTTGGATTCTGTCTTTCCTTTTCTATAGATCGATCACACGTGGCGTCAATTCTCCTGTTGAAGATACATGCACGTTATGACAAATCGTACGAAGGAAACTTTGCCTTCTTGATGCGTTTTGTACACTTCACTTCTCACTCTGGAATTTACAGTCCTATACGTTATTGAACAACATCCCACACCTTGTTGAGGAGATACATTCCCGAACGAAACTTGCACGATAGTACATGACTAATCTAACTTCGTCTGCCGGATCAGAGCGGCCAGCTTTACTTTCTCGGAAGAAGAAGTCGACACAGAACAGTCCAACCCAGGATCCAGATGCCCCTTATCGTAATAACTTTTTAGACTCTTTTGGATTTCCCATTTCAAGTTGAATACCTTGTCTATGCCGAAAGAAACTGTCTTGATTTTGTCCAGTCGAATTTTGAAAAATGAACAGTTTTCCTGTGGTTAATGCAATCTGCAAGCGTTTAATAAATGGACAAATAAACTCAAGTGTTTTGTCATGCTGAATTGTCACTGGGAACAGTATATACTGGATTTGAGAGAACTTTGCATGTTTGTACTTCCTTAGTCTCTCAGCCTCGACCGTGCTGTCGTGTTACACAGAATTCTAGTCAGGTCACTCTTTAAAAGGACGCACTTGTGCACCCACCCCTCTTTGTCGATTCGAGGTCTGTTGTCATGGAACCCTATACAGACTCATCAGGATAAGTAGCACCACTGAAATTTGCTGAATCATTCGGAAAACATTTGCTTCGTTCCACACCAAGCATATCGATGATTAATTTGCGATCTAGGAATTTAGTACGCCTTACTACTGGAGGTAAACAGTCGTGATCCTGAATCAAAGACGACAGCTCCTTCAATTCACATTTTATTGCTTGTTATGCAGATATGTGCGAGGATTGAGTCGTTCGTCAAGGACTTTCTTCGAAGACTGGTGTCATCAGAGCCATCAATCTCTTCATTGCCTCTGGTTTGTACTATGTCACGAGTCCTCTCTGTCTTCTCAAAGACTTCGCCCTTTCTTTGGCTTCAATCTCACTCTGAAAATTGAAAGTCCACATGCAAAGTCTAGGATTCGCCGTATTATTTAGCGTTCCATGGAGATTCGTCAGTCCTTTGTTTGTCGTGAGAGGACCTAATTTTGGATATCACAAAGATGTCGGCATGCAAAATTCCTTGTGTACCGATCATGGTTCTCTGTTCCTGGGTAAGAGCGAAGGATTTCAATTTGAGGTTGTGGTAAAGAGGTGTGCGTACGCAATGGAGCCATAACAGATTACATCGGGGCAATTGTGGGATGTGCCTTTACAAAAGCACCTGTACATGTAGAACTTTGTTGTGATTCTCCTTTCCCCGCACACCGCCTACGGAACATGCACAACACGGTTCATTCCAGCCCAAAGATCGCCACTTCTCAGAATAATCTACCTCTGCCTACCAGGTGAGCAGAACAACGAAGAATGCTCGCATACAAGAAGATTGTTTCGGCAAAGGGTCAAGTATATTTCTTATGCATGCCACGTTTGAAAGAAAGTTCACCACAAGGGGTGGAGTGAAAATTTTCCTGCGAGGTTGGCTTCTTCTCATATATTTTGTCAAATTTTGCTTTAATTTCTCAAAAAACTTCAACCATATCCGAAGACATTGTCTGCGCCCATAGCAGTGAGTAAGATTTCTGAACTGGTTCTCAGTTTACTTACCAGCATCAACGGTTGTTGCTCACGCCAGTATGGATGCTTTTAGAAATTTGCTATCGACTCCTTATATCGGGGAAACGAGCAACCCAGCGCGAGATTTATTACAGGCTAGTGGGTGATCCATCCTGCTGCGTCGAAACTCCGCAACAAGTCAATGACGCAATCCAAGGCAAGCAGATTCGTGGAAAAATGAGAGTACCGTTCTTAAGCAGCGGCTTCGCTTTTCCATTTTCGACATTTCACGTTAACACCGAAGAAATACTCAACGAAGTTTGACATTGTTGGCAGATGCTGTGGCCCTTCTGAAGTGTAGCAGACACAGTCTTGGAATTTATGCTTCCGGTAAAGGACTCCTGGTTGGCCGGCTCGTAATTCAGGTAAAGGGCAGATTACCTTGCTAACACCCACAGAGAAATTTTTAGCTGCTACTCAGCTCCAAATAGAGCGTTATACCTATTCGCCTTTTTGTTCACATCGACTTATTTCAGAACGGAGATCGCCTAGGCTACTCTAGGGTCGAATCTGGATGCGCTCACATACAACTTTCAAGGGACAGGTTGCTCAGCTCTCCCGTATAATTTTCTGACAAGCTTGGCCAGTAACTAAACTTTTATTGATGACACTCCAAGCCCGTATTTTGCAGCGTAAGTTCTGCAGCAGATTTTAAGCATCTAAGAAATGTACTGGTGATTTCCGGTACTGTTTTCCTTTCCGTAGGGACCTGATGGCAGAAGGATTGACTGCACAAAATTGGGACCGAATCATTTCCCGATATCGGGTGATATAAATTACATAGAAAGACTAGAGTTTCTCTCGGACGCACGGTACATTTTTGTTGTAGAGAAGGTAAGTCTCGGTTTTGTCTGTTTTTTGCCTTACGAAATATGTTTGACTATCGTCCGTGATTTCTTATCACTTCTTGCAAGCGACCATGGACAAGCCAGGCGAGTGGTGTCTTGAACGCAGTTAATGACGTTTTGTGTCACGATCTGTAGGAGACTGTCTTTCAGCGGTTAGCCAGAGATCGTTTCTATCATTCTGTCCCTTGCATTATAATCACGGGGAAAGGTTACCCTGATTTGGCGACGAGGTACAAGTGTGACATATGTTCGCGCATGCCTGCGAACTTTTTGTATGTTATGTACGTAGGGCATTTTTCATCAACAACACAGTAGACTTCTACGGAGATGTTTTTTAGGCACGGATCAAGTTTTCTTTTAGATTGATTTCTTAGTCTTTACGATACGATCCACTCTTATTGCAATTTGTGTTTTCCCATCTAAGCGGGTTAAGCTCAGTCACCAGCTGTGAGATTGGTGCTGCAGAGTCATACTTCATCGAATACATCGGACTTTTCCAACTTTGTCCATTTTTGCTCTCGTTGACTGGTAAGTTGAAAAGTTTATGTAGCCAGTATGTTTGTGTCCAATTGAGATTCCATGCTCCCTCCTTGACTTGCTCTTAGCTAGTGATCTAACATGATGGATGGATCCAACCTGTTTATTTGATGGTGACAAGGAATCCCTCCGGCTTAGCTATATTGTGTACTTACAAGTTTGGGAGCATAAGAATGGGGCTGGAAACTCCTCATCATGGTGAGTAGCTCGAGCACTCGAGTTTTTTCAAACTGGTTACCCTCACGCACCGAGGCTTCAGTAGAAATTTAGATTTATTGAAGCTACGATGTTAAAGAGTAAGCGCCATGACCTCCAATTGGGGTTTACAGAAAGCCGAAATCTTGAAGAATCTTTATACTAAATGCTAACTTTCTCCCTCGTAGTTTGTGATGTCAAATGGCTGGGATTGAGACATGAAGACCTTCAATATATCTCGTCAGAAGCCATGCTAGATCTCAAAGGTCGTGATAAGGTGTTGGCCAAGAGTCTACTTGTTTCCAAGATGCTACAGGTGATGTTAAGCTGACTTATAGGTAGGAAGTTTCTGCGCTATATCGATACGTGTGGTCTTAAAGGTTCTTGTGGATTCATACCTGTCCTGAGTTGTCACGCCCTCAGAAACATTGGATTCTGGGAAGCCTTCAGGCTGTGCCACCTAGCACGGTGTTGTCGTGAACAGGCATTTGAGACTGACAAAAGAGACTTGTGCAGAACAATGAGAAGTTAAAGAACGAGCTCATCCAGATGATACAAAACGGGAAACGCGTCGAAATTGAAGCACTGCATGCAAATGGCGAAAGGTTTTTGGGGAATTTTATAGCTGAAAAAGTCGTCCAGCATGACTACATATGACTGATAAGGGTGACAGTGGTCTGCTCACGGACTATTACGGCGCAGTGATTGTCAGGTAGGTTCTGCATTGTACTGGACACCTTCACTGTGGGCATAAAGTTTACAGCTTTTGCAGAGTTATTGATCGAGTACACTGTTTGTTTGCGTTCTGGCGCACAGTAAGAAGCCAGCTTCTAAACGCACGTGGGAACCCGTGAATGATACTCCTCTTGCAGATTGTCCACCAGGAGTCGTTAGACGTTTTCATGTCCGTATATCGTACGACTACGTCTGGACATTGCCCAATGAATTCTCCTCTTCACAGTTTTCGTGGACTGGAATTCAACCTTTACGATTCTGGTCTGGTCCTTTCCAGGCTCAGGAACAGTTTCCATTTGATTCCTCTATACCCCTTGAACACTACTCCGTTCTTGAAAGTCGTAGTCTATCATCCCAGTATCTACAATCCCATCAGTACTCATTCAGAGCTTGCATCTGTTCAGGTCAGATTTCTACGCACTTGACTTTCCACGAGTCCTCTGCAGTCTCCTCTTGCTTTACTGATCTCAGAACTTTGGTTGCTTGTGTACGTGAGGCTTCCTTGACAGATCATTAGTCAGTATGAAGCTGAACATACCTGAACATACCTTAGTACTGTTGCATATCTGGCTGAGGGATATGGTTTTCGCCATGGCACTACTGCAGGACTCCTCTCACGAGGTAACCTGTTTCCATAAGGTAGTAAGAGACACCGAACTTGTATGCACCGTATGGTGGAAGTCATTGGACAAGGGAAGTTCACTAGGCCAAATGTTACTTTCCCTTCTACTTCTATCGTTGCACAGCTTGACCCATAGCTAAAGCCTGAGTTCCGAAGGTCGGACTTGGCAAGGAATTTCAACAACACCATTTAAATGTCATAACTCAAACCGTTGATTTGAATCTGCACATAAGCTTTTATATTTATGATAAACTAAAACAAATATTTTCATGATCCAGTTTCATCGTTAAATATCCTACACATAGTCCCAATATATAGCACGCTAAGTTTTAACATTAAACGTTGGTATAACTAAGGACCTTTAGAAGTGTATAGATACTCATACGAAGTTGTTAACACATTTTTCATTTAACATTTTCAGTGACTAAGTTTCTATAACTCTGCCCGAAGTGCGAGATCACAAAAGTACATCATTTTTATGCACAAAAGTCATTGACGCAGTCCCACATATAACATAGAACTATTGTAGTGTAGTTAGGATTCAACATAGCTGAGTATCTGACCAGTGAGCAAGATATAATCTACAATTAATATCACAAAACACGTATTAAAAATTTTATTGATGACTTTATTGGTTATTGACGTATAGTAGTGTATGGATTATAAGATTCAACGTTATCCTTCAGATTTTAGACAGTAATTTTTGAGTTCATCCGATATTGTATTTTTAAGAAGCATAAATTAATGAGAAATCTCGACCTTTTTAATGGTTATTTTAAATAAAAGTTGGATTTTATTTATCAAATATAGTTTCCAAGAATTATGAAAAGATCTTAAGACAAATTGTAAATATTTTTTACAAATTGATTTAGATGTTCTAAAGCAGCGTTGAATATGTAATAATTTATCAATGTAAACTAGTTTTTTCTGACTCATTTCGATTGTTGATTTAGTATTTTTCGTAAAGCTATCTATCTTTAGTTAAAAAAGATGACACTATTGAGATATGTGTGTATATATTTCGATTGACAGACAAGTGTTATTTTTTTAAATAAAAGTTGAGTGCTAGTTATCCCTCACTTAGGCTAATTAGACTTCACCCTAGTATGCGATCTCATCTGATTTTCGAACACCTATAGTTGCTATTGCGCCCCTATTACAACCTTGCATCGACCAACAAAAGAACTGAGTATATTGCACTGACCAATAAGAAAATTACATATACTAGAGTGAAGGCTAAGTAGCCCTAAGTGAAGTATAACTCATCGCCTCCTAAATAAAACCATGGACTAATTTAAAAAGATTTGTCTCTGAGTATTATATGGTCAACATTATACGTATGTTCATCGTCACATCAATATGCATATGGAGGTGAAAAAACAAAAATTACATAGATATCAAATTCAAATTATGACATGGATAGGTTGTGTGAGTACATGAGAGCTTGTAACTTTGCAAGCCGGTCACATTCAATCATGGACCATGATCACATTTAGCATATGGGATGAACAATCTTCATAGGCTTTTTGAAATATAAATAGTTAAAATATCATAAAATATGCAATTTTGATAGAGTATTTTTCTTTTAGCTTATTTCCAATTTCTTGTAACTCGACGTAAAAGTCACGAAAGGAGCAATTGGATGAATAACTTTACATGAAGAAGAGTAATAATCCTTTACTCTTTACACTGACTTTGTGTTAGATTTCATTACTTTGTCCGAATTTTGTTATCCAGTCGCCTTATCTTTGATCCAATGCATGTCTCCTTCAATCACCACCATTCGATATGGAAGTCGTTTCCTGATTACCTCGCCAACAGATGGTCCGACTTGAGGAAGAAAGGCAGATCTAAACCCCATCAATATCGTCCACCAAATTATCACCATCTTTGCCATCACTTGGGCATTTTAGCGGCCAGCAATTACACTCCTCTCAAGTCCAAACAAACCCGCCAGTCCTGCCTTACATGTTCATGTTCGCTCTCGCTATAGATAGAACAATTATAATATCTCATGGTTGACAATTTGTTGTACTATTGTGTTCTGTCTGGATATGTTCCAGCACCTGAAGAATACAGGCAATAACATGCGACCTCCAAACCCCAAAGAACGATTGATTGGCGAATAAGCAACAGCATATCCAGAAACCAGTGCGAATCATCCTCAGCCATTTCTCATGTTCTCAAATAGAATATAAATATTCTTTTAACTATTATTACAAAGAAGTTGACATTGGCAAAAAGTAGAAAATCACCACACAAATCCTGATGCTCTTCTTGATCTCTTATTGAGAAACTAGATGGGAATTATGTCTCCTTAACATGGAGGAATAAGAATTGAATTTAAATTTTAGTATATAATAGGGATTGTAAGGAAGGTGAATCTGTACTCTTCCATAAGAGACATAGAACATAAAAGTAGAGCAGGTTGTGGGTTGGAGTAGAACAATGCAAGCATGTAGGCTTTGAGGCGTTGCTTTTGTGGGACCACAAGTCTGTTTCTAGTGAATCATGTTTGGAGTGCTCTGGGCAGTTGAAGTGTGAACTTTCGGTTTTATGCAAAACGACATGAACAAACCCACTCCCCACTTCTTCCCAATTCTGCAGCCTCGTTATCACGAGTGGGAATTTCTCTTTGTGGGTCCCTTGGAACGCAGCCACCCAACTCACTCACATACAACAAAGCTCCAGGTATGTTTCCTCTCTCTCAACATTTTCAAAAGAGATTGTCACATGTATGTTCTACATAAATGCCGTTGTGAACGGAATCTCGAAATATTTTATGCACATTTGGGCTCAACTTCAGACATGGGAGATTAGTTGGTACACAAATCTCTCTTAGTCGTACAGGATTCAATCGTTGACCGAGGTTCTGTATTGTTTTTTCTCCATAGTATCGGACAAGGTAGTAGCACAATCAAAAAGGCGAAATGTCCTTCTAACGGACCTTGAAAATTCAACTGGACATGACAGTCGGGAAAAGATTTGTATATAATGAATTTGCAAATAAAAGAATGATTGAGTCCTTCTAAATTATTATTATATATTTCATTTCTCGTTGTAAATCAAATTTGTAAATGTATTGCAATTTGCACCAAACTATATTTTATAATTACATATATACACACACTTTGATAGGATAAATTGTTTTGGAAACTTTTATGAGAGTTAAAGATAATGTAGTGATAAGTTATATATATATATATATATATATATATGTCAAAAGATTGAGTGCAAGAAACAATAATTCTTAAATAATTTCAAAGTAACATGCTTGCAGAGTATTTTCGTTTTGACATTTAGTTTAAAAATATATAAAAAATTTGATACTTTAAATAAACAAGATCAGGAATATATTTGAAAATTTTAAATATTTTCAAATTTTTATCATAAATAAAAAAATTGGAATAAAATATTTGATTTTTTACCCCAATAATGCCTTTTATTTTAATATATTTTATAAATTTATTTTGAAATTATTTTATTTTATTATTTTTTATATTGCTTTAAGATAATTTTATACAGTTTAATCTTAAAATTTCAGATAAAAAATAATTAGAAAAAAAAATTCTTGAAAATAACTTTGAAAAATAAAATTTTTAAAGTTAAAATATTTTTAAATTCTAATTAGAAGCAAGTTGTGGTTAGCCATAGTTTTTACCGTAGTTAGACTTGGCCTCTAGTTAGGGTTTGAGATACATAAAACTAGTATGAACATGTTTTAGTAAAATTTCATCTGTACACATGAGAAGAAAGATAATAGAGACCTAAGCTATGGAAATCAGATGTAACATCTTGCTTTAGTGAAAGTTTTATCTTGATCGTTGACGTAATCTAATAAAGTTGAACCACGTACAACGGTGTGTGATTCTAGTTTGTGATTCTGATGATTTTTTTGTATAATTGGTATCAAAGCTAGTTCAATGCACGCAGAATATTTATTTACAAAGTTTCCTAGAGATCGGGGAACACAAAAGCGCTGTCAAAATTTCTTCTCTCAATTTGGAGTAGAATGTTGGTTGATTCTTTGCGGAAGTGGAGCCCGAGGCATTGATTATATTTTGATGAAAGATTAAGATCGTTTCATTGAGTATAGTAGTCTCCCACTTAGCTACGCACCTTAATTTTTGTGGGTAGTTATCTGGGAGATGCGTACTTAACATTTTCATTTCTAGATCATTTGTGTAGAGCTTAAATGTCGAAGAAATTGAACACCAAGCGTCTGAACGAGTCACAACGACGTGAGATAATTTCAAAATTGAGAAAGTAAAATCCTCCAAGCAAACGCGCTTTAGCGCATGAGTTTGAAATTAACGAATGTGCTATAAGAAAAATATGGGAAAAACAAGATTTCATTCTCGAACGATTAGTTTTATTCTCCAAAGAAATTAGGCAGATTACTTTTAGAGCTCTAGTTGGACGAATTTCCGAACTTGAAGAAATGTTCTACACCTGGATCAACAGCATGCGTCGTGTCAGGTTTCCTGTACCGCCATCTTTCGCAATTGCAAAGTCAGAAGTTATCGTTTCTACATTATCAAAAATTATTTAAAAAAAAAATTAAGTCCTCATGGCAATGGCTTGATCCTTTCAGGACACGCCAAGATCTACAGATAATGCTTCAGCATTGAAAACGCTCAGAGGTTGACAAGAATAATCCTTTATTACTATCAGCCTTGGAGGTATTATCACTCATCATCGCTCCATACAATCCTGAGAACGTGTATAACATCGGACGAGACAAGATTGATTTTTTGTTTGCTTTCTAGATATTATTTTTTTATGTCGAATGAGGATATTTCAAGAATTAAAGGAAAAAAAATCAAAAGATCGTGTTTCTTGGATAGTTTATGCAAACTCTTCTTGATCATTTATAATTTCTTGCATAATGATTAAAAGTCGAAGGATGCAACTTGTATCAAAGATCGACACTGATTAATTCCTTATTTCAATCAAGCAAAGCCTAGATGGACGAGAAAATCTGATGTAGATGATTCAACAAACTCTTTGTTCCAAAAATCAAAAGTCAAATATGATGTTGCGTTCTTTTACTGATGTATAATGCACCATAACACTTTGATGCTTTCAAACGTGACAACATCAGTGTGATATTTTTTACTCTAAACTATATCAACTGGAAAACAATCTTGTGACATGGAAATTATTGCTGCTCTCAAGAAACAATAATAATATTTATATGTCAAGTATATCATTAACTTCTACAAACTTAACAAGGAGTTGAAGGAGCGGAAAATAGAATTGGAAAATTACAAAAATTACGACAAGATGCAGCAAGAGTTTTTTACATAAATTCAACACATCTATTGGACGCTGCAAGCTATGTGAAAGATGCTTGGGATTAGATCTCGTCAAGTTTTATTAAAAATGCATTTGTACCGCAGAGCTCATGAATTTGAACCTCAAAGCAGTAT